CCCCCCTTTAGGAAATCCTGGATCCGCCCCTGTTCCAGGCCGATTAAACTGAAACTTTGTAGGAAGGAATGATTGACTCATGGTCCTGACAAAGTGTTGTTATTTTTCGGGTCGATCAGAAATACAATTTGGCTGCCACGGCTGCTATTTTAAAAAAACAATTTCAAACTTAAAGTTAAGTTCTGCTAGGCCGATTTAACTGAAACTTGGTCTAGGAATCATACAGCTCATGGTCCTGACAAACTAAAGTTAACGTTATACTTCACTATTTTTTACTCAAATTGGTACATATTTCAACAACAAAAATAAATACTGTAGGACTCAGGTGACCGTTAAGGCCCATGGGCCTCTTGTCTTTTTATACTTCACTTTTATTTTGTCATGTGATTTAACTAGACATTAGATGGCCTTAGTTCAACAAACTACTTATATTTCCAAGGTGTTATTTAAGAATGACAAGGCAGTAGGATTGTGCTACGGCAATTGCCTATGTTCCTCACCAAGACGCCACTGAACCGACCAAAAAGAGGTAGAGTCGACGTACATCTTTGATGTGGTAGAAATTGTATTGGTTTAAAACACTATTATATATACATGTATATATAGATGCAAGAAGACAAAAGAAAAAAAATATCATTTTTTATAATATTTTATTTCCTTTGGTGTGAAAAATAATCAATTATTAAAAATCTGAACAGCTATTCACCAATACTACGATGGCACTAACAAAATCGAATACTGAACGGGAAGCTATATCTTAGTCACAAGCACTGACTCTGTTCATATCCTTATACGGTTTCTTATTTCATCAACAGTAAAATAATTGCAAGAAATACGAAATAAGGACGCAGAAATAAAAACAAAAATTAAGGAGATGTAATAAGCCAAACAAAGTGACCATTTACGGCTCCATATGACCATTTTTACACTTTTATGTACAATCGTTCGAATCTCAAAAAATAGGGATTACATAAAGTGCATTATAACCATTGCCGATATATTTATGTTAGATTCCCCACTCCTTGCGTAACATTTCTATCGTTACTGAATTCGATATCTTGTCACCCTCTGCATTCAGACCAAACTTTGCACCGCTTTCAACTTCAAATTGACCCATAAACCTCGTATCTAACTGATCACAGGCAGGCTGCCACCTGCAAATGCAATTGTAATTCGATTAATCAATTGATAACATACAGGTATAGGGAAAAGGTTTTGATATTTCATACCGTTTTGCTATATTCGAATATGCGATAGCGATAATTTAATTTTGAAGATTTGATTTAATTTATTCGAACTGATGTGCTATTTGAAAACGAACAACAGTATGTTATACCGAAACGGCGCCCGTGTATAATTATAGTGAATTTGTTGTTCTAGTAACACATCTGTTTATTCGAGATTATTAGCATAACACTAATTATCAGTAAAAATAACAAATGGTAGAACTCGTTCATGTCATTTTGATATGATTATGTACAGATTCCTTTACGGATCATCTTGCATATCTTTCCTAACTCGAGAAGCTATCGTGTAATCACTATATATATGTTAATTTTTATAACTGAATAGCTATTCTAGATTTTGCTAGATAAGTATCTAATGACCACTAGATTATTTGTCTAGTCACTATTAGACAGGTATCTCCTTATTAGTATATATAGTCTATCTAGTCCATAGGAGAACAGCTTTGTATGGCCTGTAACATATCCATGAAAATAACAGGATATATAAGTGATAGTAAAATAACGTATCTAGTAAAAGTAAGAGATATTATCAAGTAACAATAGACAGGGAAAAATCTAGATGTTAGTACTAGCTTCGGTAATTAAATACATCTGAAATAACATTATTGTGTATGGTATGACAAGTGCCTCACAATTACAAAAAGAAAAATTGCATACCAAAACACTTAGGTTGGTAGTGCAATAATAATGTTTGATTTCCAAATTATTTCTGGTATACGGAATTATATTTAGGGTATGGGTATGCAACATACTTCATTGACACTCAGTTGACGTGCCATAGGTAGAGAAGAGAGATTTTAACATAACTGTAGCGTTTTAGGTGTAATTTAGTTGCCATTCACCATAAGAGAAAAAGAGAGAAAAAAATAGTCAAACTTTATGAGCATGTAATATGTAATTTCTATTTCAACAATATTTTTATGTTAAATATGAACATATATTTAGTAGTATTTAAAAATCATGTGATATATACCGGGTGTCGCAGCTTATCCGTAGAAAATCTGTCAGGTTAGATGTGGACATGTGGACAGTCCTGCAAGGCAAACAAATCATCGCAATAGAAAAATGTATATATTACAAAAACACGTGTAAATGATTTTGCACACGTTAAAAGAAAAAAATTATATGATATCTTATAAAACCGCAAGACACTTGTAAACTACGAGATCAACACCTCAAAACGATTGTGTAAATGATATAACCGATGCCGACCTCATGGTAAACAGCAGGACGTCTCCAGCCCTGAAATCTGTTGTTTTCCACTGACCACCAAACCCAGCACTGATCTCATCAGGATCTGATGTAAACCAGCCGCTACCTGAAAAGAAAGAACAATTTACATTTACATTAATTACACATTACCACAATGTTAACATTTTTTTAAAAACGTTAACTATATATTTTGGTAACATAATACTGTATAAGTTAACTGATTAACAGAGAATGGTATCATCGAGCAAGGTATATTGCATCCTTTTAAATTTCATGTAGGAAAAAAGAAATAGAAGCAACACCGAAATGCTCTCCATGTTTGGCGAAATACATAGAAGCAACACCGAAATGCTCTCCATGTTTGGCGAAATACATACAAAGTAATTAAAACATACCTTTCAGATTGGCTGCTTCGACATCCAAGTTACCGTATGTTTCCTGGAAACGTTTAAAGCTGTAATCAAATGAATAAAATGTAATACCAAAATAAAATGCTAAAAGTGTACTTTTATATCAATTTCAACACGTATTCTTACTAATTTCAATAACACGTTTAACGTTGCTGAGAAATGGGGAAATCAACTTCATCGTACCTAACTTCTCCAATTTATGACAGGAATTAAGTGTCGGATGATGAAAGACATGCTTACAGTGTCATAGATCTTGATGATCGAAATGCATTCGCGGGCCATGTTCGTTGTTTGTTGTTAAATTGTTAAATGTACACAATTTTAAGGAATAAAGCCGATAGCGCCAGTGAACAACATTTCAATCGAGATTAAATATGCAAATTAAACTTTTCAGAATGCTTGTGAGGTGTTCAACTGTACCAACTAACATGTGTTAGATACGATTAACGGACGAGATAGCCATAAAGGAACATCTAAAAAAGCAATCCGAAAACAGCAAATCTCGATTAGAAGCCCTTTAACGTGCACTTTCAGCTTTCACAGATATACTGATAATACCACTATTGATTAGAAAATAACTTACGTAATTAAAATACACAGTCGTAAGTTGTTATTCTAAACTACGTAACAAATATACAAGGAGTGACATTGCCCTTCATTGCTTGACCTTTCTGAGTTATTTTACAAAGCTTAAAGTTCTTTACACACCTGTCGAGCTTGTGTGATCCCTCACACATACACAGTGTTCCCATTTCCACACTCACATCACCAAACGGTGTCCACAGCGTCACCAGGCTCTGGCTGCCACGCCCCATGTACACGTTATCCACGTGCGCCCCGGTGAACGCGCGGCGGTGGATTCCCCTTATACAAATACAAAATAGTGTGGTATTCAATAGCTTTGCAAGAGGTAAAGCAGAGGACAAAACGAACTAAATCGATATCCTGACTTAATACCTTCCTACTATTAGAAGGTCATACAAAATCAGTTGCCAAGACATATATGTGGTCTCTAGTTTAGACCCGCGAAACCAGTGTGACCATTAGACATGCAACTTAAAATGAGAGACGAAAGAGGCTGTTTACCCTTCGAAAACCCCTGAGCACCCTTTCTGTTGATACAGCAGTGCTTGTGAAAGGCATGCTGTTTTGTTTATAGTTGGAACTCGTTACCTCAAACTTGAGTTCTGGAAACAAATATTACAAAACAAACAGTGACCTTGTCTTTTGGCAAACCACATACAAATGAATACGATTCTTTCTCTCATGTAAGGCAACCCATATATCGAGTCGGATCTTTGTGCAATTATTTGTTCTGAAGTTAGTATCCGAACAAGAAAATTCTGTTTTTGCGAACAGTGACCATGATCTTTGATGAACCAAGCAAACATCGATACTGTTTTCCTATTTTTTGAAATTTGCACAATTATTTCTTCTGAAGATAGCATCCGGATTGAACGAACGGATAGACACACAGACATATAAACATCCCGGTGATTGCTATATCTCTCCGATTTTATTCCGGGGAGTAAATGAAATGTTTAATGTCCCAATTTTGATTTATTTATTTTCGAATGAAATAGTTTCCTCCTCACTAATCTTGAGACACTTACCTTAACCATTTGTAGTCAAAAGTAGCACAGTCGGAACCGAACAATTCGTTGAAGAATTTTTTGGCTGAAATATCATTATGTTATGCATGAATAAGACGATTATTTACTTTCTGCTTCGATTTCATGGACAATTCAAATCTATATAAGTGGCAAGTTAAAGCATGTATTAAGTGTGTAATAACAGTATTCAGTATTATCTAGGCACCAAATGAGCCAAAACTAACACCAGTGTTGTATTTGTGCGTTTCTATTACAGTGTATATAGCACATACTGGACTATTCATCTTATCTTTTGTACCCCAACACACAACCACTTAATTAATATGTGAAAGTCGGTAATAAAGACAACGATCGATACATGATAAAACAGTCAATACTGAACAGACACTATCATGTATATGAAGTAATTAAAGTGATAAAGCTATCAAATTAAATTAAGTAAGCAAAGGCAAGAAATAGAGGTTCCCCAACGAGTGATGGCTGGTTTTCATGTTTAACTCGAGTTAGTTCATTTTCAAATTGTATAAAGACACGAGTGTCTTTTACAATTTGAAATCCAACTAACAAGAGTTAGATAAACATGATACTCAACCTTTACAAGTTTGTAAGTTTCTTCCACAACGTTCAGTCATGATATCTAGAAAACCATATGTTTCTCTTGCTAATACATTATTCATGTTTCCGATCGGGAAAACAATAGCCATGAACTATGACGTCAAAATGGAAGATGACGTCGCAAAGCATTGTTACTTCACGTAATTTTTAGAAGACTGACCTATGAAATAACGTTCAGGGTGGCTACCAACAAGTGGCTGACCAAAAATATTTACCAACTCCTAGTAAGATAATTGAATGTGTCGAGAGTGAGGAAACCAGGAGGTTGTGGGAGAAACGTTCACCCACCAATCACGACATTCAATCTTTATCATATACGATAAAGAACAACTTAATACAAAAAGAGGCATACCTTATTCCAAATACAGAATTATATCTTATATATTTTAACTTACGTCTAGGACCCTCAAGGACACGGATGACTTCCTTAGCATGTGTAATGTCATTTTTTCCCTGTAAAGCACAAGGTGCGGTTACATAATTCTAAAAATATCTTTTATCAGCTTTTGTATTTATCAATTTCGGCAGCATGTTGATCTGACCAAGAGCTTCAAACGCAATGTCTATAAGTTATTTTGCAAGCATACACCCTAACATGTACTTTCTCCGTATCGCACAAAATATTTATTTTCTTATGATATGTGGAGTTGGCGATTACATAGTGTATAATGCCATTCCTAATCAGAACGTTTCTTTCGTCGTTATAAGTTAAAATAACTGCCTTGTCTGCGCGTATCCGTTTATCCAAGACGTGCTCTATAACTCACTTCACTTATTGCATAATTAAATCTTACTTTGGTAGCAGACCCCCTTGCAATGACAACACTCTACAAACTGTGGGGAAAGTACGTGCTTTTATAATTGTTTGAAAACTAATACAAAGGGGTTGTATACACTCGATCTCATTTATTTAGTGTTTGGTTTCATTTTCAGAGATAGCATCGAAAAAAGAAGAACATGTAAGATTTTCGAACAAGTAGATATTTATATAGATCACGGACTGGTTTATACTCGTCAAACCTGAAATATTAGATACAACGGATATTGCATCGTGTCCCAATGGAGGACATATTGCTTCACAAAGAGATATGTGTATTTGACGCCGTACCTCCAGTAAAACATGATTTATGTACATATGTCACTCTACCTCCATGAAGGGAATACACCCGATACCACATCTAGCACCCAACACTCCCTTGGTCGCGGGTTCCTGTATCTTTCCATCGCCACCTGAAACCACATGTCGAATTACCGCCTCCCGGGCTTCCAGAACTTCTTTTCTGTCGTGAAATCCCCTGATAAATAGGTACCTGTTCAAAACAAATGTCTTGTCTTTTATCGCCTGCAAACTTTTTGAACATTCTTGTGACAACATTTCAAAGGTATAATTCAAAAACTGAGATGGAATTATTAGTAACATAAGCCTTTCAACTTCAACGTTCTGGTTACCTTTTGACATTCTCCTGTGTTTGCATTTCATACATGTATATATTGATGATAGGACAACTAGTTTGAGTTAGTGTGGCTGGTTGTGTAAGTTTATTGGTATATCTGGTTGTGTAAGTTTATTGGTATGTCTGGTTGTGTAAGTTTATTGGTATATCTGGTTGTGTAAGTTTATTGGTATATCTGGTTCTTTAAGTTTATTGGTATATCTGGTTCAGTAAGTTTATTAGTATATCTGGTTCTGTAAGTTTATTGGTATATCTGGTTCTGTAAGTTTATTGGTATATCTGATTCTGTAAGTGTATTGGTATATCCATATATCTGGTTGTGTAAGTTTATTGTATTTCTGGTTCTGTAAGTGTATTGGTGTATCGGATTCTGTAACTTTATTGGTATATCTGATTCTGTAACTTTATTGGTATATCTGGTTGTGAAAGTTTATTGGTATATCATGTTCTGTAAGTTTATTGGTATATCTCCTTCTGTAAGTTTATTGGTATATCTGGTTCTGTAAGTTTATTAGTATATCTGGTTCTGTAAGTTTATTGGGATATCTGGTTCTTTAAGTTTATTGGTATATCTGGTTCTGTTAGTTTATTGGTATATCTGGTTCTGTAAGTTTGTTGGTATATCTGATTATGTAAGTTTATTGGTATATCTGATTCTTTAAGTTTATTGGTATATCTGGTTCTTTAAGTTTATTGGTATATCTGGTTGTGTGAGTTTATTGGTATTTCTGGTTCTGTAAGTTTATTGGTATATCTCCTTCTGTAAGTTTATTGGTATATCTGGCTGTGTAAGTTTATTGGTATATCTGATTATGTAAGTTTATTGGTATTTCTGGTTCTGTAAGTTTATTGGTATATCTTGTTCTGTAAGTTTATTGGTATTTCTGGTTCTGTAAGTTTATTGGTATATCTGGTTGTGTAAGTTTATTGGTATTTCTGGTTCTGTAAGTGTATTGGTGTATCGGATTCTGTAACTTTATTGGTATATCTGATTCTGTAACTTTATTGGTATATCTGGTTGTGAAAGTTTATTGGTATATCATGTTCTGAAAGTGTATTGGTATATCTGATTCTGTAAGTTTATTGGTATATCATGTTCTGTAAGTTTATTGGTATATCTGGTTCTGTAAGTTTATTGGTATATCTGGTTGTGTAAGTTTATTGGTATATCTGATTCTGTAAGTTTATTGGTATATCTGATTCTGAACGTTTATTGGTATATCTGGTTGTGAAAGTTTATTGGTATATCATGTTCTGTAAGTTTATTGGTATATCATGTTCTGTAAGTTTATTGGTATATCTGGTTCTGTAAGTTTATTGGTATATCTGGTTGTGTAAGTTTATTTGTATATCTGGTTGTGTAAGTTTATTGGTATATCTGATTCTGTAAGTTTATTGGTATATCTGATTCTGAAAGTTTATTGGTGTATCTGATTCTGTAAGTTTATTGGTATATCTGGTTCTGTAAGTTTATTGGTATATCTGGTTCTGTAAGTTTATTGGTATATCTGATTCTGTAAGTTTATTGGTATATCTGATTCTGTAAGTTTATTGGTATATCTGGTTCTGTAAGTTTATTGGTATATCTGGTTCTGTAAGTTTATTGGTATATCTGATTCTGTAAGTTTATTGGTATTTCTGGTTCTGTAAGTTTATTGGTATATCTATTTCTGTTAGTTTATTGGTATATCTAATTCTGTAAGTTTATTGGTATATCTGGTTCTGTAAGTTTATAGGTATATCTGGTTCTGTAAGTTTATTGGTATATCTGATTATGTAATTTTATTGGTATATCTGATTCTGTAAGTTTATTGGTATATCTGGTTCTGTAAGTTTATTGGTATATCTGATTCTGTTCTGATTCTGTAAGTTTATTGGTATATCTGGTTGTGTAAGTTTATTTGTATATCTGGTTGTGTAAGTTTATTGGTATACCTGGTTGTGTAAGTTTATTTGTATATCTGGTTCTGTAAGTTTATTGGTATATCTCATTCTGTAAGTTTATTGGTATATCTGGTTGTGTAAGTTTATTGGTATATCTCATTCTGTAAGTTTATTGGTATACCTGATTCTGTAAGTTTATTGGTATATCTGGTTGTGTAAGTTTATTTGTATATCTGATTCTGTAAGTGTATTGGTATATCCAGTGGTGTTTTCTTTGATGTAGGTGGTGCTGTGTGTTAAGGCTTACAGCACATTACTGTTGGTGTTGTAACTGTATTGGTGTAGCTGGTCCTCTATGGTTTGTACTTACATTAATTGGTGTAATGGTCGTTCAATGGTCCTTTGTTTTTATTTCTGTGACTTGTCCTTTGTCTTTTAAACTTGTGTTCTGTGGGTTTTATATTATATTTATAACTGTTGGTATAACTGTTCCTGTATGTTTAAAACTTACCCTTGTTGTTGAAGTTGGTCTCGCAATGCCTGAGTGTTTCCGAGTAAATGGTTCGAGTCTTTCAGCTCCTGAAGTTCCGGTGAGGGGAACGTCACAACACGTGTTCCAAGCTCCACGGTTCGGGGGTACTGCGTAACCTCCATAGACTAAGTGGAGCAGTGGAAAGTGATGTTAGTAAGAAGCTGTCTACAGACTCTTCGGTTGAATAAAATGCAGATACATCACCTTTCGGTCTAGACAGTGAATTGGTGCAAACGTAACGTAATGACTAGATACCAAGAACCTTAATATATCATCTTGTATTTTGACCTAACGAGTTTAAGGTGAAGAGTACGTACCATTAATTTAAAATATGAAATTCATGCCTACTTATATTTTATTTTTGTTTCTAAGAATCATNGGGGGGGGGGGGGGGGGGGGGGGGGGCTGGTGATCTGGTGAAACTACAAATACACAGAATCAAATTGAGATATGAATACATTGACAAGGGAAATTACCGAAGCCATAACAGTCATATACAAATGTATCATACATAGTCTTAGCATTCATAACTGATGCAACGGTACTCGTTTTCGCAAAATCTAGTTTGTCATATCTCATGTCTCCTAGTTCTATTTTAGTCCGTTAAGATTGCTGTATAAATAAAAGGTTACACTAACAGTGATTCCCTAAAACCTTATCAATGAGATAGCGCTTTATATTGCCATTGAGTGGGTCTCCTAATCTGTGGACGACGTTTATAATTATAACCGTGGACGCGCAAACCTGAACATAACCGTACTAGGGGATGCTTATTAAGTACATTTAGTGTAATAACCTAAATAGGAAAATCTCGTAACACGTAACGCGTACAGGACTTCGTACAGATAGTGTTGTTGTTAAGCCGACAATTACCCACGACTCAGACCGTACGTCACCATGTTCTAAATGATGACAGTTTCATATTACTGAACATTGGTAACCACAAATTATATAACTGGAAAACCATCTGGTTAAATAGCGCGTATACAAATATAGACGATACGTTACCGGCCTTGAGGTGGTCTTGTTGCGTGCTAACAGGAGTATCTAGTTGACCGCCTTCCGTGTTATCAACACTACAAGTATGTGGTGTTTGACCGTAAACTGTTGACACAAATAGTCACATATTATGATAAATATGTTGTCTTGCATTAACCTCGGTAAAGTGTCTCGACGACCAGCCATCTTGGGCGAGGCCTAAAGACATATTTACGTTAATATCAGTTTTTTACCAATTCCTTTGTACTCATATCACTGTGTATGCTTAACTAGAAACCTTCGACAGTAGTAATAAAGATATTAAGTCCGAACATCTCCAGAATATCACAGCATATTTCAGGTTGTGTTTTGGTGTCTCCCCTGACGTCGACAGTTCTATGAGGTCCGAGAGTAGGTAGATCGGATCGTAATCATTGGCTAGCGAGGATACACTAAAATACTAATACTAGTAATAAAGAATCTGTTATTCGAACTGTAAATCGATAGAACGAGGACAAAACATGATAAAGGAAAAGCTTAGACGGGGACCCTTGGCAACGTACAGGGAGAACAATGTCAGGTGTTCCGGAAAGGTAAATCCTTCTGCTTCATCGACAACACTCGCCATGTAAATCGAGGTCAGATCCAAGCAATGCCACATCCTCAAATCGAGAACCGGGTTAGTGTGAACGAAATGATAATGAGCATATCAAAAACGTTTGAACTTCATATCATACAAGGAAACAGCATATTTCCAAATAAGATCATGATAAAGACCATAAACCTTTTTAAGCTTATATTGTTCATTAACCTGCTTCTTTGTACTGACAGAAGAAACAATTTCCGGGGAGAGGAAGCTCGAAAATAATAAAATATCTGATGAGTTTGCATTCCACGTCTTTAGTACTAACCCTGATTTATTATTACCAATAATGGTAGAGAGAGGTCGGATCATAAACACGACCAGTGTTTACTACAATTGCGGATATATATACATCTACAGGCCCAACTTCTAGCAGTCTTCTTTTATATTTTCCAGGTAATTTGTATGCTGACTGTCAGCGGGAATGAAAACATTTACAACTATCGACATTGTGGTCGGTTATACATTGTATTATACAAAATCGACTTAACTATAACTCGAATAAGTGTTTTTTAGAGTCAGATTCTGTTTGTATTTCAAGTATGGAAAACACACGAATCATAAACAATTCGAGAAAAAAATCCAACTTGAGTATAAATTGAATAATTACAATCTGTATAAAAACAAAAAGGAAGATTTCGTTAACGTTTAGTTGACATATGTGTTGGACCATATGTGGCGCATGTATCCCCTACATCTTGTACATGTACTACGTGATTTAATAGGTTGATATTTGACCTACTATGTGTTGGATGGCTCTCGGAAATAAAGAAATTGAAACCGAACAAAAAATTAAATCTCTTAAAAATAAAAAGAACAAAGCAAAACTCAATCACACGTGGTCGCAGAATCCCGATTCCCCACGTGCTACGAGTAGTAAACAATGTGCAATGACCCTATCATATGTCCCATTAGAGTCGTAACATAACTATGAACAACTGCTTGTGCGATAAAGTCTGCAAAACGGAATAGATCTTTTGACCCTTTCAATGACCAAATAAGGTGAATGTCTCGGCTTATTCTCTTCCAGTTTCGAACATGTGCGTTTTTCACACACGTTTCTCATTTGACGTTCCCATTTCGCTACCGTCGCTTGGCGCTGCATATTGATCGTTTTACAATACTGTGTACCACTGTTGGGCTTTAAATCCTGCACATTGTTAGGTCACATGATATCATCGAGATATATATTGCGTGTGTCACGGAGTGTGCACAATAGCTTTAAACATATACATATCCAGAGTATACTTAATTGTTCTCTTGTCCGAGTATTTTTGGAACGATTACGCACGTTCTGTGTAGTGCCACGCAATACCTGGAAAACCACAACCGGATGTGAATTGGATGGTATCTACAAGTGTTTTATTCTATGGGATTCTACCTGGCATCGTGCAATAATGACTGCTCAGGTACTACGAAGCTATGATCCAATGCGATATTATGTAAACAATGTCTCTGAATTCGACCCAGCAATTGTGAAAGCATACCAGGAGAAAGACTCTGCCAAAATCAACGTCATCCTTCAGGACGGCCTGAAAACGGACTACGATGTCTATATCTGTGTTAACAAGAACTGGCATGCTTTTATACTTTGTGCGGCTAACAAGGTCGAGGGGCCATGGCAGGATATGCTGTCCAACGACCCGTTCGACATTCCCGCGCTTTTAATGGTGAGTGAGTTGGAGCTTTGTTTCGAAAACGAAGAACTTGGTACTTACAAAATCAGGTCAAAAATGGAACCTTTCGAAAATGTTGAACATAAAATCAAGAAATCGTTTTACATTGGGAAGTACAAGGATGTGAACATCAAAGCTTTCCAATTCGCAGCGTTAAGGGCGGCGCCACACCGGTATAACGTGTTGCTAGATGACTGCGTGGAATTTGCAAAGGAGTTTTGCGTTCAGTTGTTGGCCTACTGTGGTAACTACAAAGATTTGGAGGCGAAGGTAAACAGAAACATCACTGAGGCAACCGCCACCGGGCTCAGTGCAGAGCAGCTTTCTAGGCGGGTGAGGAGCTCGGGCTTATTAGCCAACACATTTTTGGGAGGAAGCGAGGTGACCAGTTTTCTGGTCAGTAAAGGTCTGGGGCCGGCAATCGCATTCATATTAGTGTACACAGTGGTCGTAGCAATTGTCGTATCTTATCTGACTGCTTACTTTATGAAATGATGCGCTTAGTATCATCTAAGCAATAGTTAAGGGCCCACAGGGCATGTATTGCTACCAGTTATTTAATGGTGTCGGTAAAATATTGTTAAAGCTGAAATGACAATATTGGATCATCAAGAGGCTGTAGTGATAGATTTTATTTCATTTTTTCGGTGTGGATATTGACTTTCTTCTTAAATTTGCTGTACATATATCTTGCCTTTGTAGAAATGCTGCTAATCAACTTGCTGTTTTAAAAACAATCTTCCAAAGAAAGGAAATTCCCATTTTTTAAGTTTTTTATTCTATCAAATTCTAACTATTGACCACTTGCCTGGCACTTTTTGTACATTGACAAATACTAGGAAAATGGAAAAAGTTCAGGAGCGAGCACTTCGTTTTATTGAAAATGATTAAGTTTCCCCTGCAATTGATATTCTAAGAAAACACAAACTTGATTTTTTACATGTAAAATATGAAAGATATGGCCACTGAGGTTTTTAATTTTTAAATGATATTTCTCCATCAATTTTACAAAATCTTGTTGAGAGGAAAGACGTTTTTTACAATCTGAGGCAAGATAACCCCGTAAAGGTCCCAATGGTGAATTCCGTTTTGCTGCTTCCCAGGTGTGGAACAGCCTACCAAATGAACTTCGGTTAGCTGAAAACTACAAGTCATTCCGTGGGCTGTTTGGCACCTGGGGCAATAAGGTCTGCTCATGTGCTATCTGCACACACCATATAGTGTGAGTTGTCCCCCTTTGGAATCTACCTACATGTATTCTAATTCAACTCTTTAACTTCACTGTTGCTTTTGTTATTTAGTTTGCTGATATAGTTCAGTACTATGCTTATTATATATTTGATAGTTATTTTAGACTTCTATTATTTAAAAGTTCATTACTTTTTACAATATCATAATTATAGCTCTCTGTTTCAATCTATGACTTCATTGTCTCTTTTTTTAATTCACACTATATTAGTGTATATCCTGTAAATTTGTACACTTTGCTACATTAGCATATAAGTACATTACACTATGATAGTGTCTTAACTTTTCTTTTGTAACACTTGTGTGACATTCAAGTGTTCACTATTAAATTATTTCTTTTAAATTTCTAAATTTTTATTTTGCATAAACTGTGATTTCATATGTTCTACTGTATATTTGTAGCATATCTAAATTGAATTGTTGTCTTGTTTTTAAATATATATATATATATCCATAAGTACTGTGATCCTTGTTAAATTTTATATATGTTTTGTCGCAAGAAATGCACTACAGTGCTAATGTTATTATGTTACATGTATATGCGACGTTAAATCAAGCTTCTTAACTCCCGACTCTTGATTAAAAATTTGAATTTCAACAAGAAGTTCATCCCTGCAAATTAAGGACCAAATGTGATTATTTTGTACTCCGTGTCAACACAATTGGTCCCTAAGACATGTGGGTCAATGTAATTAATTTGGACAACATCAACCTCTGACAGCAACCTACAAGCCAAATATTATAATTCTTACATATATAAGATTTAAACATTTGACTGCTGTAACCTTGAATGTAATGAAACCTTCATCTCAGCAAGATGAATGCGGATAGCATGTTTCAAAGAGGATGTGTTCAAGTTTTTGACACTTCAGACTTCTGTGACTTTAGAAATGAAGAAACTGCTCAATAGTCTGGACTAGCACTGCCACCTAAGCCAGAATCTTATTGAGTATGACAACTTACCACAAAGATGATTGTGACATTTTAGGAAGCAGAAACAAATTGAAGTTTTGTCATAGCAATTTTGCAGGGAAATATTAACATAAACAAATATCATGGCTGATAGTGCAATGGACAAGCCCAGGATACGTATTCATGAAACCGTTCTCATGCTCAAGCATGGATTTCTGTACTCTGTCACATGTAAACATTGAAAACAGTATTTGGCATTTAAGTCTTCAATTTTTTCAAAATCATTGATAAATAAGATTATTTTTTTGTTGATTGATAACCGGAACAATAAATGAGGCCCGAGCACAAAGTTTATGCTTGAGCATGAGAGGGATTTAATAAATACAGGCTCTGTATTTTATTATCAAGGAATCTCTGTGACAATGGACTCCCCAGCTTAAATGTTTTTACTGTGTTTTAAAAGAAAATTCTTCAGCCTCTGAAAATACCTACTATTTACAGATTCAATTAACATAAATGTATATCTAGAACAGTTTGGCCTCATCCAGGGTATGTTTAACACAGGTTTCCAGGTAATATCGAGTTTTGTTAATCTTTAAATATAGTCATGTTCGAGTGACCTTTGTAATTGTTTTCTTTCTCACATATCAAACCTTGTATACTGGTGAAGGAAAATAAAAGAATTCACATGATTTGTAATGTTTATTTCTTATTTCTTTTCTTTTAAAGAATCAACAAAATCATTCCATTAAATATTGCAATAGATTTCCATATAAATAAACTACAGATATATTAACATTCATTCATCAGATATTGAAATATTCCTGGACTTGCACCATTCAGACAAAACATCAAAGAAGGGTGGCAGCATCATAGACTGTGCACTTTGGACAATCACAACACTGACTTTCACTCTAAAATTATTTACTTGTATATGAACAAAAATCTGTTAACCCTCAACATGTGAAATATTACCACTACAGTAAAACTGCTTTACAGTAAAACTGCTTTACAGAACAAACATTACATGAAGGCAACACTCATATTTCAAAGTTTCAAGTGTTTTAAATTGCCATTAATTTTTAGGGCCCACAGCTTAAATTTTCAAAAGTTATTTATGAATATTCCATGCACATAAAAACATCAACATGTACAATAAATAAAGTATAGTGACCATTCTTATTGAAAAGACCTCCTCATTCTTTGATGAAAAGGCATTACATAATCTGTTAACCTACACAACAAAATGTAGCAAGAACAAAAACAGTCTTAAAATGGACCCCTAGCATTAAAATCATAAAATTTAATGACTAAAATTTAGATTTACTAATTAAGTATGTAATATTGCATCAATTTGCTGTAAGCGTTGGTTTTTGGTGTAGTATATTCTGGAAAAACTGTTCATGTTTGTGGTCGAGGTGCTGTAGAAATGTTTGTGTGCGCGCCTCCCTGTCCTTTGCGTACTGTTGTAGCCTACACTGTATACTAACACTGTCCTCACTATCCTCCACACCTCGCTGCTGTTTCATCTCCTTCACTACATTCTCGTAGTCACTTTCTCTCTGTCTCCTCTCCTTCTCACCATCATTCTTTTCCTTCGCATCCTGTCAGAAAATAATAGTGCATTTGTAATCAAATGTTTAAAAAGATATTTATCACAGAAGTAGACATTATTATGCTTTTTACTTTTATAACATTCAATTTAATATGATTAAAAACAAGAGATCCCAGAGGGATCTTGGTGCCCACCTTTGTACCATCTTCATTAGTTCTTTGTCAGTTCGATCTTTTCTCTTCTTTCCTCTAATCTGTTTGATCGAGTCATGTTAACAGTAAATGCACCTTGAGGTAACTTTTGATCCAAACTTAATACTGATGTGTATGAAAGCCAACCTTCAAAGTGAGTTTGTCATTTCACATATTTACTAGTACAGTACTTAATGTGAAAGAAATAGAATCGATCATTGCAATATGAGAAAGATCTGTTTAGTTCTTCTTTTAATCCATTTTGTTTTTATGATCAGTCTCAAAATATAACATACACAACGAGGGATCAAGGGGAACCTACATTTAAAATTTGAGAAAGATCCCTCCCGTACTTCCCGAGAAATAGCGATAACAAACTTTCACTATCAAAATCCAAGATGGCTGCCTGTCGGCCATGTTGTTAATCCGATCAGTCTCAAAAGTTGCCCTGCACAGCTAAGGACCAAGGGGAACCTGCATATAAAATTTGAGAAAGATCCCTCTGGTACTTCTTGAGAAATACCGATAACAAGAATTGTTTACGGACGGACGACGGACGACGGACGACGGACGACGGACGGACCAAGGACCACGGACGCAGGGTGATTTGAATAGCCCACCATCAGATGATGGTGGGCTAAAAATTGTGATGTACAATTATGGAAAGGTTTTTAATATAGTTATCAAATCAGACACCAGAAGGGAAAGACTGGAGCCTGGAAGATTGGAAATACAAGTTTGGTTTGGATTGACACACCTTAACGTGAACGGAGAAATCAGGAAGGCTAGATGAATAGGTATGGAGGGGTTAATTACCGGATCTACAGAAATAACTATAGGGAATGTGTGTATCTAAGAATGGCAGGAAGGAGTATAGAATTTGAGGGTTTCCTTACCTTGACAGCCTGATAATTCTTCTGGTAGTGTAGAACGCCTGAATACAGATGCCACACACTGAACTCCGGCCACAGGACACTTACAAAGGCAAGACAGCTGTATGCAGTCTGTAAACACACAAAAGTATCATTTTTATAACTTTGTAATTGGCTATAGATATGTTTAACTCACAGACATGGTCCTATAAAGTGATAAAAGGAAGATCATGATTTTCTGCCAGTCTCATCATGGTCATATCATAAACTATAATTTGTTAACTGCCAGTCTCATCATGGTCATATCATAAACTATAATTTGTTAACTGCCAGTCTCATCATGGTCATATCATAAACTATGATTTGTTAACATTATTTATAATGATGTAAAAAGGTAAGAGTTTTTCCATGCCATTATAGGTTTTCCACTAGAAAATAATGATTAATTACCTTGCAGACACATCTATTACACTGTATGTGGTATAGTGTAAGTGTTAACAAAATGGGACAGTACGTATACCCAAAATGGAATACTTGTGGGAAAGCGGCCTATGAAATAGGCATACAATTCAAAGAAGTATTTTTATGTACACAATTTTCACTACTTGATACTTTTATGTCAATTTAACTGTACATCTACTTAATTGTCTGTTTATTATGGTAACAGGGACAGTGTAAGGTAAGAAATAATTTTGAAAACAACTTTTTAATCTACATGCCATGTGAAGCCATCTATTTGGATATCATTTTCAGAAACTTATTTTTCATAACAAATGCTAGTTTGGAGAAGAAATTTAATCAGAACCTCCAATGACTCAAACATTTTTGAAATATATGTGATTTTCTGCTTATATTGATCTCTTATCCCCCAATATTAGCTAAAATACCAAAGTGTCCCTTTCAGGGTACAATTACACCTCTTCAACAGCTTTCTGACCCTAATACTGTAGTATTTCCTGTCATACCCAGGATTTAAAGAGCCACATGCAGGATATATCTTGTAATAGACAACACAAGTGAACAATATATAACGTACATATTTATAAACATTTCTGGAATAATGGATACTATGGTATAAAATACATCAATATTTACCTAAAAAAAATCCCGTTTTGGGTTCACTGTTTATTTCTTCTGACCTGTGCTGTTTATAGTTAAATAACTCGCTCAAGGAAATTTCCCACCACTTAACAATAGGGTACTAATGCTGTATTCATTTACCATGTAAGAAATCACTTGTTGCTTGACTCCCCTATCAACTAATACAGGAACGATTCTCCAAGTGGTCTGGGGACTATTAGATAATTTGATAGCATTCATTATTTCACATTTACTTAGTGGGAAATATTTTCATTCTTATGTTCCAACTCTTAACTCATACCAACCAGACTTTGTAATAGAAACATACCTGCCACAAAAGGAAGTCACTGAGTCGCACCTCTCCTGAAGTCCGGATAAGGAGATCTGGATCTCTGGAATTCCTTGTGTACAGACACTGTTCCAGCAAATCCTCAGATATATCACTGATTGGGGAAAGAATGTCAAGTTAAAGTGAGGCAAACATACACCTGGACACAGGTAAATGGAATTTATTTGGAAAAAAGTCCTATTTACTTTAAAAGAATATGTTGTCCCATTCTTAGCAGCCTTTTTAATTTTCTTTACGAAGATTGAACACATCCAAACTTTGAAACATATCAAATGTCTCCGACTAGGAACACTTATCAAAAACAACACTGTATTAGGCTCAAAGAATCATACTCAGAACTGTTTATACAATTATATCTGAACATGTCACAATACTTCATATATAAAAACCTGATACAGAAAAAGATATAACCCTGTTTGTGCTTACAAGGTTTCTGGAGAAGAAAATTAAAGTTAGTTTCAAGGGACATAACTCCAGGAAAAAAAGTCCTTTCTTCAAGCACACGTATATATGATGTAGTTTGATTGTGCCAAGTTAGCAAAATATCCACAAACAATTTAAGAGAAGTTACACTTGGGAGGTTCCTGGAAAGGAAATTTAAATTTTCATGTGCCATAATTCCAGGGTAATAGTCATATCGCAAATTCCTTTCTTCATGTATACCGTATCTGCATATGATGTGGTTTCACCGAGTCAAAAAATTCCAACAATCTGTGAAGGAGGAAATCCTTTTTAAACGGTTTCTGTGTGTAAAATACTTGAGGTACTATAAAGTATAACTTAAGTATAAAGCAAATTACCATCTCCACAATGACCACTCACCTGGTCCTGATAAGCCCATTTGACACACCCTCAGCCAATTCCCGCATGCCAGCACAAATCTCATCTCTGGACGTATATGCGAAGCACACATTCAGTATTGCCCTGTGGATAATAAAACACAGCAGTATGAAAATATGTCATTAAATACAGCACACATATTTTCCTTCATTTTTCACTTTGAATACAATCAATTAGATTACTATGAACCAATGAAGTCTCAGTTTCTTAGGGTTATCTCCCTTACTCCATAAAAACTTCAAAATGCTCACTGCATGGGACAGTGGCTAAATCATGCCATCCAGACCCTGGAACAATACTTCATTACTTTATTGTGTTTCTCTATTGAAAAATCAGATAAGAGAAACTTCACAAGTGATAAAAATACATAGGTTAAGAAATGAACACATGCACAAAAACTTTTTTTACAATGAAAAACAAACTAACAACATAATTTCTTACTAAACTCTCTGTTAAATATCTAAATCTATATAAAATCAAAGCAATGGGTCACATATTCAATACATTGTGAAACATACAATAAAATCCCCCATTGGATCAAGGTTGAGGTTGCTCTTCAACACCTGTTGACTCCCGCCGTACATATATGATGTACAGATACCCTGTAGTGATTCCACATGCTATACACTGCATGTGTGTTACTAAAAATAGCTATTCCTATATACAATAGAAAATAGCAACCATACCTATTACATACCTGCAAGAGTTATTCATCTTGACCACGATTCTTATCATCATTCACATAATTCACTTTTTTCTTCAAAAATCTATTATAGAAAACAGAATTATGTCTAAAAGATTTAAACCAAAATCTTGAAAATTCAAAACCTGTACTTATTACAAACTGTAAGCCTTTGTTCATAACTTCAGGTTTTGTATATCTTGATAAATGTATGAAAACATGTTAATTTCCAGACACTGTCGTGATGCCTATACTAGACAGATGGGTATAAATGAGAAGCTCTGGACACCCCTGGGTTGGGAGGTACGATGCTGTTGGATGCAGTTCTCATTGCCCTGGTTCATTTGGTGTGTTACTACCACAGTTTCAATAGTTCTTAGTCTCCAATGGTGTACCTGGACCTCCCTTTTGTGCTTTAAACGGCCAACCAGTAGACTTTTAAACCATAATTCATCTATTCAAAGAGTAAGGGAGCTAATGCAGTCACCCCAGCATCATCACCCTATTGCCAGCTTAACTTGAATATCAGTTTTTGAGCAAGCTTCATGTTTCAGTTAGGTTTTTTATGTAGTGCAAGATAACCACACCCCATTGGCCTTGGCCTATTATAAGGTTGAGGTGTTTATATGCAGTATTAAAGCAATGTGCTGAAACGTATTTGTTTTTATACTTGAGGGGCCCCAGTCATTCGTTCTACACTGGTAAAATCAATGGTCGCACAGTGTTATTGTATATATTGTGGTATATGCTGCCTGCATACTTGTATTTGCAGTCGTAATAAATTCACCTTCATTGTCAAGAGCAAAAAAAGACGAAAAGTGAACAAGCAGCGAAAATTTTCAGGTATATAACTATATAGAATCACAAAGATTGAGGCATTGCAATGTGCTGAACCATTATTCATATTCTAGAGGCCAGAAGGGCTAAATTCAAACTCAACTTGATCTAGACCTTTTTATGATACCATTCAAAGATTCATTTACTACATATATTAATTTCAAAGATCTTTTATCAGAATAATATTAGTCATACTTGGACATATGTAACACTGTAATTACATTGTAACCCATATTCTGTATGATTACCTATATTGTAAAATAACAAAGAAAGTCGCTCATACCGTAATAACAAGTCTAGTTCTGCAACCTACAACATGTATGTTTCTATCAATATTTTCTAACTTAAAATGTATCACAAATAGGTGAGCAATGCTCTTCTCAAACAGCTTGTTTTTTTCCCGTAAAAACAAGATGCATATAAACAATGTATTATAATATTCATATAAGTTTGTAACTTTCCTTATTAGATCAATAATGTTGCTTTAATGACCTACATTTCTGAGTGTAATGCTACAAATAACTATAATATAGCAAACATACAGAAGGAAGTGAAGCAATATCACTGTATTTCTTACACTTCAAGATTACATCATGACTGGCTTTGATTTAACCAGTGACACATGGTGGTCAAGGACAGGTCGACTTTCAAATCAAGGGTTTTCAGGATTTACCTTCCCTCAAACTGTAGGTATTCTACATGACAAATAGTATATTTTACCTATTTGTTCGTCAAATGAGCCACATGATGACAGGATAGTAAGTCTGAAACTGCTTTAATTCTGCTGGCACTTTTCTTTCACTGTGAAAGTTTGATACTGGACAATTACCATTTATAGTAAATCCTGTACATCCCATAAACGATGAGATATTGCTGAAAATCTGCAGAACCAATTTTTAAGTGAATAATTATTAAAATGTAACATTTAAAAAAACATTATAGGATTCTGTTCTACTTTTCCTCTAACTTAAAATTGTGATATCACCCATGTTCCACGTTAATGATTTAACGGCATGCGATATCAATGACACTGGCAGTGCAAACATAGCAGAAATTTAAAGTAGTAAGTAAGTACTGACAACCAAGCATGGCTTTTGTTTTTATTGTGTGATGTATTAATGTATCTATGCCTCAAAACAGATCCACACCGTAACAGAATTTATGCAAAATGTGATACTTGTGAGCAAATATATAAAGTTTGCGACAGCTAAGAAATGAAATCTGTAGAGTGACATTGTTACGTAGGTATGACTGGATCCTTATTTATGTCTCTTCAACAACTTGATCCAAGTTATAGCATGTTAGGTTTCTAGCATAATTACTCAGTCACTTTAATACTTTAATTTTCTTATAATGCTATTGGGTTGTAAAAGAAACTATTACTAAGCAATGCTGAACTGTCAAGACTTTGATCATTGTTGATAACTAGATAATTTTCAATTTTATCAGCTAGATAATTATTTAAAGCCAAATGATTTCAGTGTCATATAAGGACAAATCTAGTCTGTTAACCATTTCACCACTGTAGACCATCATTGACTCTCCATATACCTAGGGGTGAAAGAGTTAAGCCAATTATAATATACTGTCAATATATATATATATGAAACTTGTTTTAAGCATATTTTATCCCCATGCAGTAAGGAGTCCTGTAGCCAGTGTGGGATCAGGATGACATTAAGGTGGGGGAACCTAGGCAACTAGTTTCCATGTGCATCCTTCACCAAGACTGCTCATCACAGACTCTTCTCCGATAGCTCAGACATGTGAGAGACAATCATACAATGATAAGGAAGGGCCTGGACACTTCGACCTTCCACAAAACCTCCATGACTTCAGTGACATCTATGATACTACATCATAGACCTCTGCTATTTTAAGATGTGGACATTTGCATTGAACATCTAAGGATTTGCATGGTATTGTAGTATTTAACGATCCTTGTCTCAATGCACTGTTTTCCCCCCCAAATATACAGTATTCTCCCCTTACTTTTTATACGCCCATCAAATTTGACGGGAGTATTATGGTATGGCGCCATCCGTCCGACGTAAACTTTTGTTTGTCTGGCAATCACCTCCTACATTTTTCGACCAATTTCTTTGAAACTTGGTATACAATATAATCATGATATGAAATTCTGTTTCCCAAAAAAGAATTTCGATTCGACAATTTCTGCAAAAGTAATTGCCCTTTGTTTTTTTCAGTGTTTGATTTTTGTCCTGCTATCTCTTCCTACATTTTTGGACCGATCTTTTCGAAACTTGGTATACGTAAAAATCATGATATGAAGTTGTGTTTCCAGTAAAAGAATTTTGATTAAACTATTTTTGCCAAATTTATTTCCCTTTGTCTATTTCAGTATTTATTTTTTTGTCCAGAGATCTCCTCCTACATTTTTCGAGCGATTTCTTTGAAACTTGTTAGGCTTTATTATCATGATATGTTGTTGTATTTCCCTGAAAAGAATTTTGATTTGACAATTTTGTAAAAGTTATTGCCCTTTGTTTATTTCAGTATTTGAATTTTGTCTGGCGAACTCCTCCTACATTTTTCGACCGATTTCGTTGAAACTTGGTAGGCTTTTTGCAAAAGTTATTGCCCTTTGTTTATTTCTAGTACTTGAATCTTGTCTGGAGATCTCTGGAGATTTATAGCATGCTAGCTAGCCACTCTTAATGTGAAGCAAATATTATTTTAATGCAAGATAGTATATAACACCATATAGCATTCGACGGGCGTATAATGTTCCGCCCTGCAGTACTCTTGTTTGTTTTGTAGCACAGTTAACGTTGGGCCAGGATATTTCCATAAAACAGTTAGCTTTGAGTCAGCTAAAGTGATGGTGTAACAATCTGAAGTCCAGGTTCAAATCCAAAGACAGCACTGTTGATCTTAGAACACTGTTGATACATATATTTTGCTGATTTCATCTGTTTTATTTGTTCATAAAAATCTCGTAAGGTAAGATTTTCTTTTCAGAAATTGTGACACTAGCAACAATAAGAAAAACATAATTTTAAACCAAAGGCTAGCAGGGGCACACTTTGTTCATATAAACTTGTAATAGTTAGGGTGAATTTGGAACCTAATAAAGGCCCATTTCCCTTGAAAATTTCTGCTTTTTGTAAGTGATATTTTCCCAAAGCCACAAGGCACAGGCCCCTGTGGAAATGAGGTAAAAAAATCTAAACATTTGATTGGCTCTTACCTGGTATTGTTCTTGGAGAAGTGGACAGCATCGGCCACCACCTGTTGTACATCAGGGGGCAGCAAAGACAGGTTACCAAGCACCCTCACACACACCTCATGCTTCTGGATCAACTCCCTGTAACACAGATCAAGTGGATACCTCACTTACTTAATAAGCACGTAGTATATGGGGAAATTTGGAATGATATTACATCCATGTACATAAAGTGAAGGAGGAACATTTTGAATGCAGTAATGTTTTGTTGCTGTAAGTCATAAAGTTAAAAGGCTAGAGTGGCCAACATTTTGACTATAAATGCCAACTGAAATCAGTTCAATACTTACATTTACCATTTTTTTAACCTGTTCATCTAATAGGAAATTCAATTACATTTATTATTTATATCGTGTACGTTTGTTCAATATATAAAACAGGGAGGGTCAGTGGTATCCAATTATGATGTCATACTAATGTCGACTTAAACAATCGTTTTATGGCATTCACAGCCTATAGTCGTTTCATGGCATTCACAAGCTAGTGATCATGAATGCCTACTGAAGTTGGTAGGGTTATATATATGAATGGTAATATAAAGGTGTGGTAAGTTTTACTTAAGGATATCATTGATCACATGGATATTTTTTGTATAGCCCACCCGACACAAAAGGCTGTGAGCTAATGGTATCCGTAGCAATGACCTTCTATTGATCTTTTTCCTTTTTCAACAAGCTTCTAATAAACTAGAAGACTGCAATATTTGGCTTAGTAAGTAACTGTACTGGAGTGCTTAGGTTTCCTCATATAAAGAATCTTGACTAATATTGAAGATCACATCGGTCAAAGATGTTCTATAGTTCAAATAAGTTATCTTAACAATTCTAAGGTATAGAGCTATAACATAATTACGCATGTAAGTTTTGTAGACTTCAAGTCTTGCTGTTACCATATATTCGGTTAAGGTTAATAATGACAGTGTGCTGGGGTCAAATGTCAACAGTGGCTATGCTGCGTAAAAAACCCATTAAACATCATCTGGAGTTCAGTAAGACCCAGGGTTGTGATATTTGGCGAGTAGATAGATACCAAGGATTAAGTGCTATAGAGATTCTTACAGTAAATTAACATTAACTTGACCTGCTTTTATTGATGTTTGACCCTGTCCAGCTCTCAAAGTTGACCACTGACCTCAACTAAATTCATCAGAAATAGATTTGCATGGGTTCAATCCCATAACTTACAAAAGTACCATGGCTCTAAACCTCTAACAATTTACATCATGATGTTTATGTTTTTAATATTTTTGACCCTTGGAATTAAGGAACTTTTATGCAGGTATTGTAGCTACTGGTCAACAGGAAGTCAATCAAAGCAAAGATATGTTTCACAGTGGACAATGTACCATTTACCATAAGCTCATAGGCATCTTGTGCAAGATTAGTTCAGATGTGATTTCAGTCATTAAGAATAGTTCCGACAAAACACCGAAGATTTCCCTACCTTTCCTGCATAAGACGTGCAAATTTCTGCCGGGCGATCTCCATCAGGCACCCAACCTCTTCCTTGGAACGCTTGAAATTCTCAATACTGAAGGCATAAACAGTTACTTCTGTGATGCCAAGGTCAAGACACCATTCCAGGGTCTGAAAACAATGATGATGTTTTTCTTTTCATAATCCTGTTTTAAATGAACGTATATATATAAACAGTAGTTTAAGAGATGAAGCATGTTCATGACTGATTTTGTGTTATTAAAAGCCAAATGAACATGTCTGTTTGGTAGTGATAGCTGATGATCGATAATAGAAAATCAATCGGTTTGCCCTTTCCGATTACGATTATCAATTACAAATTCCATTATTGATAATTTGATTTAATCGGTTCATCATTCAAATCAAAGTGTTTAAATGTTTACCGTGTAAAGTATGCTTTGGAAGTCATATAATCATATGATTTATACTATATTATTGATAAAAGTGCATAAAATATCCTTGATATCCATTCATTATAAAAGAATGAAACCTAATGTATAGTTTGCTTGGTTTGTTTGTGTTTTACGTCCTATTAACTGGTGTTAAACAGCTATGGTCATTTAAGGATGTGCCAGGTTTCGGTGGTGGAGGAAAGTCAGAGTCCCCAGAGCAAAACCACCAACCAACAGCCAGTACCTGGCGACTGCCCCACGTAGGTCTCGAACCAGCGACCCAGTGGTGGAGGGCTAGTGGTAGCAGAATGTCAGAGGCCCCTTGGCCACCGCAACCCCTTAAAACCCCTATTCTCTCTTATCCTAGTAAAGATATTATTACTTTAGTATACTAGTAATGTATAGTGAACAACTCTGTCTATTGATGCAATAGTAGTGTTCTCACTTTATTGGGTATTCTGTCCAATAAAACTGATTATGCAAAGATCATCGATCGGTTTGCTACTTCCGATTATCGATTATGATTTTAAATTGATTATCCATCACTACTGTTTGGTTGCACAGGGATACATAGCCTGACTATTGTGGGGTGGGGTGGGGTGGGGGAAGTCACTATTTTGTGTCTCCACCAAAGAATTTTTGTTTTTATTCTAGTGTTGGACTATACAAATACATCGCCATGTTAACAATTATTCAAGACCCAACCACCAAAACCTATATATGTAACAGGGTGTACTCATTGCACTAAGTCACACAGTGTCAACGTGTTGTCTAATAATATAATATATTTTACTCATAGTGTTTATTCATGTAATGATATAACAATACCTGTGATAATATATATGTAGTCATGTCCATCGTATTCGTAAAGTGAAAGTAACTGTATATGTATATTGTAACTGAGTCTTAGTTTCGTATCTTTTTGTTAATAGGTTTCTTTGGAGAGAATAAATACAAGAGACCTTGAAAAGTCATTGAAGTTGTTCTTACCCAGCCTTTGGGGCTAAGAGGGTTACACATACAATTTAGGAGGATATAATGGGTCTTGACTCTTCACTGATTTTTCATTTCATACAAGAATTAGGAAATAAGAGACAATCTACAAATAAATAGAAGGTTCATGTCAAGTCCCATCAACCTTTCAATTGAAAGAAATTAAATATCTTTCTGCCAAAAAAAACGAGAAAGCATATCTTCACGAAAAAAGTTTTAATCACCAACGTCACCACAGTTTCTGATTTTGTCTTCAATACTACATCATGTCATTGTGGAACGGTACCATCGAGACTGCATTAGCTATAATGGTGAAGAAGACTACAATACTACATCATGTCATTGTGGAGCGGTACCATCGAGACTGCATTAGCTATAATGGTGAAGAAAATTTCAATACTACATCATGTCATTGTGGAACAGTACCACCGAGACTGCATTAACTATAATGGTGAAGAAGACTTCAATACCACATCATGTCATTGTGGAACGGTACCATCGAGACTGCATTAGCTATAATGGTGAAGACTTCAATACTACATTATGTCATTGTGGAACGGTACCACCGAGCCTGCATCAGCTATAATGGTGAAGAAGACTTCAATACTACATTATGTCATTGTGGAACGGTACCACCGAGCCTGCATCAGCTATAATGGTGAAGAAGACTTCATTACTACATCATGTCATTGTGGAGTGGTTCCACCGAGACTGTATAGCTATAATGGTGAAGAAGACTTTAATACTACATCATGTCATTGTGGAACGGCACCACCGAGACTGCATCAGCTATAATGGTGAAGAAGGCTTCAATACTACATCATGTCATTGTGGAACGGTACCATCGAGACTGCATTAGCCATAATGGTGAAGACTTTAATACTACATCATGTCATTGTGGAACGGTACCCCCGAGACTGCATTATAATGGTGAAGAAGACTTCAATACTACAGCATGTCATTGTGGAACGGTACCACCGAGACTGTATTATCTATAATGGTGAAGAAGACTTCAATACCACATCATGTCATTGTGGAACGGTACCATCGAGACTGCATTAGCTATAATGGTGAAGAAGACTACAATACTACATCATGTCATTGTGGAGTAGTACCACCGAGACTGCATTAGCTATAATAGACTTCAATACTACATCATGTCATTGTGAAACGGTACAACCGAGGCTGCATTAGCTATAATGGTGAAGAAGACTGCAATACTACATCATGTCATTGTGGAACAGTACCACCGAGACTGCATTAGCTATAATAGTGAAGAAGACTTTAATACTACATCATGTCATTGTGGAACGGTACCCCCGAGACTGCATTATAATGGTGAAGAAGACTTCAATACTACAGCATGTCATTGTGGAACGGTACCACCGAAACTGCATCAGCTATAATGGTGAAGAAGACCTCAATACTACATCATGTCATTGTGGAGCGGTACCACCGATACTGCATTAGCTATAATGGTGAAGAAGACTACAATACTACATCATGTCATTGTGGAGTGGTACCACCGAGACTGTATAGCTATAATGGTGAAGATTTCAATACTACATCATGTCATTGTGGAACAGTACCACCGAGACTGCATCAGCTATAATGGTGAAGAAGACTTCAATATTACATCATGTCATTGTGGAACGGTACCCCCGAGAATCCATTAGCTATAATGGTGAAGAAGACTTCAATATTACATCATGTCATTGTGGAACGGTACCCCCGAGAATCCATTAGCTATAATGGTGAAGAAGACTTCAATACCACATCATGTCATTGTGGAACGGTAACACCGAGACTGCATCAGCTATAATGGTGAAGAAGACTTCAATACTTCATCATGTCATTGTGGAACGGTACCACCGAGCCTGCATCAGCTATAATGGTGAAGAAGACCTCAATACTACATCATGTCATTGTGGAGTTGTACCTCCGAGACTGTATAGCTATAATGGTGAAGATTTCAATCCTACATCATGTCATTGTGGAACGGTACCCCCGAGAATCCATTAGCTATAATGGTGAAGAAGACTTAAATACTACATCATGTCAGTGTGGAACGGTACCACCGAGACTGCATCAGCTATAATGGTGAAGAAGACTTCAATACTACATCGTGTCATTGTGGAACGGTACCACCGAGACAGCATTAGCTATAATGGTGAAGAAGACTGCAATACTACATCATGTCATTGTGGAACAGTACCACCGAGACTGCATCAGCTATAATGGTGAAAAAGACTTCAATACTACATCATGTCATTTTGGAACGGTACCACCGAGACTGCATTAGCTATAATAGTGAAGAAGACTTCAATACTACATCATGCCATTGTGGAACGGTACCACCGAGACTGAATTAGCTATAATGGTGAAGAAGACTTCAATACTACATTATGACATTGTGGAATGGTACCACCGAGACTGAATTAGCTATAATGGTGAAGAAGACTTCAATACTTCAGCATGTCAATGTGGAACGGTACCACAGAGACTGCATTAGCTATAATGGTGAAGCAGCCTTTAATACTCAATCATGTCATTGTGGAACGGTACCATCGAGACTGCATTAGCTATAATGGTGAAGCAGCCTTTAATACTCAATCATGTCATTGTGGAACGGTACCATCGAGACTGCATTAGCTATAATGGTGAAGCAGCCTTTAATACTCAATCATGTCATTGTGGAACGGTACCACAGAGACTGCATTAGCTATAATGGTGAAGACTTCAATACTACATCATGTCATTGTGGAACAGTACCACCGAGACTGCATCAGCTATAATGGTGAAGAAGACTTCAATACCACATCATGTCATTGTGGAACGGTAACACCGAGACTGCATCAGCTATAATGGTGAAGAAGACTTCAATACTTCATCATGTCAATGTGGAACGGTACCACAGAGACTGCATTAGCTATAATGGTGAAGAAGACTTCAATATTACATCATGTCATTGTGGAACGGTACCACCGAGACTGCATTAGCTATAATGGTGAAGAAGACTTCAATACTACATCATGTCATTGTGGAACGGTACCACCGAGACTGCATCAGCTATAATGGTGAAGAAGAGTTGTTTTACCAGAGTCCTGTCCCATCTATCTCTAATCTATATATAGAAAGTGAAGCAATGAAAAGTTTTTCTGGTTCACATGTTCGGGGATGTGATCCAATATCTCTTCATGTCTGATCAGAGAATCAAACCCCGGCCACCTTGGTGAAAGGCGAGTGTGTTATCCACCGTGCCACCCGACTATCCAATAATAGGTGTGCAATATTGTGATAATGGTTATGATGTAGTTTAACTTGTGCATACACTTTTCCTTAATTCTAATGTCACAATAGGTGTTATACAAGAGGTATGTAGCAAGCAAATATATGGCTTGTGAGTATTCACTGCCTAATACTGTAGTCGTGAGTTAAAACAGTGAACAGTGTGAAAACGATCTTTCCAAATCTTCAGAATCCATGAATGAGACAATTATATCAATAGCATACTGTGACCTGAAATAACTTACTTCAGCAAGTTTATCAAAACCCTTGAGATGTCCCTCTGCTCTCTCCATGCTGTTTTTCTTTGCAAAACGCCTGTTTCCGTCCATGATGATGGCGACATGTTTGGGGACAGGGCCAGTTTTGAGGATCTTTGTACAGATCTGGTGTATCCAGGACTTGCTGGTCTTTTTCTCTGGAAACCATGACATGGTATCTGTTTATCTGTAAAAAAAAAAAATATGAAGCAGAAGTGTAATTGACAATCCTGTATTCTCTCATTCCTACACATGAAAGGACAGTCCAGGGTATAAAAGAAAGGGGACCGGGTGAAAGAGAATCAAAGTGCTTGGTGTCATAATGGGACAACAATGACCATTTTAGTATGATTTCCGATATATTTCTGTATATATATATATATGAGAGAGAAAAATACCCTTTCATACCCAGAGTTGTAGGAAAGGGACATTCCACCATTGGGATTTAAACTCTCAGCGATGTGGGGTAAAAACCCTTTGTTGGAAATTCTCTATATCTTATATACACCCTTGCTTGATATACACCCTTGACATGAAAGAGTCACTTTTAGAAATGTCCTTGATTCAAAGTTGAATTCAGCCTTCAGGACTATTGTTAACTTGAAATTAATATTGTGTAAACTTATTTTTGTTTTGATAAGATTTTGGTTAAACATGTATTATGCTGTAAAACAAATGATGACATACATTGATAGTGTATAACAAAAGCCACTTATGCAAAAAAAAATCAAAAAAAAAATCATTCCTGTGGGTGTATCCATGCATGGCATGAATCCATTCTCATGCTCAAGCAGGGATTTCGTGCTCAAGCCTAATTTCTTGTTCCGGTTATGAATTAACGGGGAAAAAGATTTTGTCAATAATTTTGAGAGAAAAAAATTGAAGAGACTTAAAGCCAAATACTGTTTTCAATGTTTACATTTGTTTTTTTTATCGTAAATGGTGCAAGGTCATGAAACTGTGGAAATTGTGGAAGCAGCCTCAGCGATGAAAAAAAACACTAAAAAATCATTGACCTGTTTATTTATGCCCAAATGGCTTAAGTTGGTCTTTTTGTCAAATCCTTCATGTCCAGGGGTGAAATTAACAACAGAAATCCCACGGTATGAAAATTCCAAGAAATTGTTGGTCAGGCTTCGCTTTTACTCAATCCAAAAATCTCTTTCAATGAAATTTCTTGCCCTATATCCCACACCCCTGAGAACAGCTATATTGCTTGAGCTAAAGGTACATCTCCCTCAGTTGAGATGCGTAATAAAAGAAATATCTAACATATTTGGCTAGAATTTATTTCAAAATTTATACGGTATGGTCATTAATAGATGGCAAATTATTTTCTATGATGCAGGTTATCTGCGTCTTCATTTTGCATATCATTTTACTCTAGTATTTCAATAGCAAATTGTAATATAATTGTGGCAGGTTCTAATTGTACATAGGATTAGGCAATCTCGAGCCAGAATTGTCGTTCCTTTTCAATCAAACATACATTAAAGGGAGTGCAAGGACCGTAACTCTGCGTGGAGATTGAGGGTTACAGTCATCTTCGCTTCGTCAGCTACACGGAAATTCCCTTTAACTTGTAAAAGATGTGGATATATTAGGTTGCCTTACAAGCGTCAGCTGTAGGGAATTTCCCTTGAGCTCAGCCGTAGAGCATCGGGCTGGAGAGCCAAGGGTCGCAGGTTCGAGCCCCTAAGCGCAGATCTATCTTTATTACTATTCCTCGCCCTATTACAAATTGGTGCCGCTCACCCTCCCCGTTCAAGGTAAGAGAACCCTTGGCAGGGAATCAAAGAACCTGGGTTGGTGTTTGAAAAAAGGGGAGAATAGTGTAAAAGATGTGGATTAATTAGGTTGCCTTAAAACAATTGTCTGCTGTAGGAAATTTCCCTTTAGCTCAGCGGTAGGGCATTGGGCTGGAGACCTAAGGGTTGTGGGTTCGAGCCCTAGCGACAGGCCACTACCTTTATCGCTATTCCTCGTCTGATTACAATCTCAGTGGTATAGCGTCCGACTAGGAACATGGAGATCGAGGGTTAGATCCCTGGTGAAGCATACTATTCTCTTTCCTATTACAAATGGTGTCCATGCCCTCCTATTGGTGACAGGGAGTTAGAGCCTAGGTTGTGCTGTTCGAGGGCAAACACATTTAAAAAGGGGAGTAGTGTTGCAGGTTTTAATTGTACAAAGGATTACGGTTGACTTCTAGCTTTGAGCTAGAGGGAATTTCCCTTTAGCTCAGTTGGAGAGCGTCTGACTAGGAATCTGGGTATCGATAGTTCGATCCCCAGTTGAAGCTGAGCAGACTATTCTCTTTCCTGTTACAAAATGAATAATAATTATTTAAAACATTAGTTTAAACTATTATGCAGTTTTCTTCTGCATCTTCATTTGCAGTTAACATTACCTTCTTGTATTCAGGCATTATGAAAGTTGGATATATATATATGTTCTTAATCATTAATATAACAAACTAACATAAAGGAGACATGCACACGATTAATATCATGAGTAAGCATGTCTCCGCTGATCCCACAGGGGCATGGATCGCTTTATTTGTAATATTTTGGGTTTTTTAGTAGATGAGAACTCTATTTTTTAAAATTACAAGTTACATGTATTTGGAAAAACTGGAATGGTTAAGACATTCAATATTTTCAGAATGTCTTATTTTACCCATATCAACGAAGAGGTCTCAAATGTACGCGTGTAATGTTTACGTTTTCACTGAATCATATTTCATCACTGCTCTGTAAAATATAAAGACGAAGGATGTAAACAAATATGGGGGATGTGACAATCGCATTTCAAAGTCAACGTAATATTATGACATGTATATTAAATTTTACAAACACGTTGTTTAAACCAGGAAATTTAACACACCCGTCGAAGAGTCAGCTGTACGCGAGGAAACACACCGGCATGGCTTTCACAGTGTACAAGTGTACGTAGTGACGTATCGCTATAGGTGAAAAGGTTTGCTTCATAAATCCGCGTAGTAAAGTAGGTCATTTCGAATCGCATAGATTTGTAATATGTCAAATTATTCAAAAAGTTATTGTCATAGCTACAATTTTTTAAATAATGTTTGTATTAATTGATCGAAGATCAATAAATAACACGCCCAACTGTCATATTTCGAGAAGGTCAGTGACCTATATATTACTCCGCCTCTATTCCGCGTGAAGCTGTTGCGATCGATGAACGAAAATAACACAAAAATGGCGACTCATTTTCTAACATTTGGTTAGTTATCGTCAGATTTTTACGACTGTGGATGTGCTAGGGAGGGGAACATGCCTAGTGACGGTTCCTCAGACGTATCTCTTTCCACTGTTGAGTCAGGTAATGTGATGTTGTTTTCGTAAACCACCCAAATTCGACCATTTTTGGAGAGCTCAAGTTCACGATTTTCATTTTCTTTTCAGAACTTTATTTCCTAATATCCCGGTTCCTCGCATCAGGACCATGTCAGCGGGCTTCAGAGGTAAGTAGATGTCATTTTGTCGATTTGTTGGACTCAATACTTATTCTTGTTACTGATCATGCCTTTTTCTTTTACAGGCATTGAGACAGGAGCTGACAGAACATCAGGTAAGACGAGTCGTTGTGTTGTCGCTTTTATTTACGAATTACGCGCTCTTTACGGTGTTTTCCGTACTAAACATGATGATTTTATGAAATTTTAAAGCTTGATTTATAATAATTTCACATTGTTGTCACATTTTTTGTGGTGTGCACGGAATTTTAGTTATATTGATTATGGTATATTTTTCAGCTTTTACCAAAACGGTTGGATTGGGAAGGCAGGCAACACGAAAGAAGTTATGAAAATTTGGTAAGAAATGTGAAAGTGGATAAACTTGACATGTGGGAAGGATGCTAAAAATTTTGCAAAATTTTGTCAAGCTTATTCATCTGGGTTGATGTCATCGTTAATTGTAGCATTTCAATTAAATTTTATTGACTTATTAGGTTTTATCGAAAAAATAGGCAATGTGTGACTATTTACGTCCAATTTCGAATAATTTTCCTAAGCATTATCATATCAAATGTGCAAGGTCATGTACGTGATGTCATCGTGGAACGTGCCGCTCTGAGCCAATGAAAACACAGCAACTCAACAAAGGTCATTTTGCTATTTATAGCCACAAAGAAAAGGAAATGCCCTACAGGCCTGCAAACTGATTGGTCGAAATGTTATGATAGTAAACAGAAGCACGTGGTTATGTAGAGAACTTGTCATTTTGGCAACATTATTATTTATGGTAAAAAGTTTTTTTTTTATAATAACATCAAAATCTGTTTTCGCAGTCATGTCAGAAATGGCAGAAAATGGCAATCTGAGCTGTCAGGAAATCAGGCATAAATCATCTAAGCAGATCTAAGCACAGATGCTTTTAACCAATCTAATAATGTGTAGAGCATTTTCCACCTTTGTGTTTACACATGTATGGTGGTCTAAAGCTTCTAGTTGACCAAAATTTCAAAATTATGATAAGTAATTAACTGATAAAAAAAAAATCCATTTAAATATAGCCATCCATGTGTCTCAAAAACTTATTAATGTGTAGTATCCTAGTGTTATCAGTTTCCATGCACTTAAGAAGCAGCCACGATTATGTACTCATATCCGTAGGAAACTGTTGAAATTACTAATGACTGGCATAGACAAGTGTAAAATCTACTGATGGAAACAAAAAACAAGCAACAGAAAACTACTTTAAAAAAAACAAGATTTTTTTTTAAACAAATTTCATCTGTCAGAAGTAGCCGTCATGATTTGTGTCCGTGTCTCAATTTTGATTCAGTGTTCAAAGAAAGATAAACTTGAATACACAAAAAAGGAATTTCCACAGTGGCCTCACTCACTCATATGCACAAACAAATGCTTCACTGGGTACTTCAATTATGATATTTTGTCATCAAATTAACCATCAAAACAAGTTTACTAAAATTTTGTGTTGACATTTCATTATGTCAACTTAATCAAATTCAATTAATATAATAAGTTTTATTTATTTGATTAATTAAGTTGTAATATAATCTTTTTTTAGTGTAGTCTCTAATATCAGTTTTATTTGATGGTAATTTTTTTATTTATTTTTTTTCCATTTGAAATTTATAAAAATTGGAAAATCAAGGCAAAACAAGATTTACAATTTTTCGCAAACAGTGTTTACCGATATAAGGATGTATCCTACGCTTTTTGGAAGTAGAAAAAAAATGGCGAGTTGGTGTGGCCTCATTTGCATACGACACCCTTGTACATTTGAAAGACAACAAAAAAGACTGGGTCATGAATGAAACATAACGCTGCTTTTTCATGTATGGGTTCATTTTGAGCAAGATAAAAAGTGTATTAAGAAAAACTGCACATTTCTGCAAGGTTTTTAATCAGTTGTAAATTCTAACGTTTTTTGAACGAACTTCCTGTAATTTTTTGTCAGTCGACAGATGATGACCAAACATCTAAAATGTCCTAGTGAGTGTCAATCAGGTCACATCAGTAATGAGATACAGCTTGATAAAAAGGCTGCACAGAAATATATAATGCACAGAAACCTATGACTAGACGATGATATATTACGGCACTTTTTTTGTACTATAATAAAGCACTTAAAAAGATACTGGGAACTTATAAAAGATACAATTTGAAGCAAGAACACTCCATTTTTTGTCCCCCAAAAATGTGTCTGGAAAAAAAATGTAAATGTATCTTTTAAATGTTTAACAATTTAAAAAAAATAACGACTACAGTATACTTCGTGGATGATAGCATTTCCTCTTGCTCTTGTGACAGACTTTACAGACATTCCCTATTCCAGTGTAATGTTGCATTGTTGTAATTGCTGTCACATCTTTAGCGTTATATTTTATATTACATTTTCTGGTTAGCAAAATGTATTTTGAGTGTTAACATATAAGAAGGAATGTCTTTAAAACTGAAGTACCTGTCAAAATATTCATTAGCAGTTATTAAAATGCATTTTGTTTGCGTCCCTGGAAATATAGGTCAGTCTTAATCGTCACATATCTTCAAGTCACCTTCTGCAAGTATGTCAACGCCTGGGTCCCCTCCTGGACAAGGATATCAAATCGACTGTGACAGGATTACAGTCCCTTTTAGGAGCCGGACGACAGTCCCTTCTCAGGACCAAAGAGTGTGAGTCGACAGAATTTATCCTTTTTGTTTTTGCCTTTTATGTTATAATGCTATGTAAATTATTCTTACTGTCTGTGTAAATATTTTATTATCCAAGATTATCAAAAAAGCTCAAAGTAAGAGAGCCCAGGGATTAATTTTCATATCATATTTTTTTTTTTATCTAAGAACTGATTAATTAATTGGACATGGATTGTTTTCTGTTGACTCTGCAGCATTAAATTGATTTCAGTTTTATTATGAACGTGTGACCTTTTGACATCACTAAGAGAATGACAACCTAAATAGGAATGTATTAAAGTATAATTACCCTTAGAAGAGGTCATTTGTATTTTGTATGAAATCAGTGAAGACTGTGTTAGTTTATTACGGCCAAGTGGTTATGGCTTCTGAAATTCTGCTACCACCAGCCGTCCACTACTGGGTCGCGGGTTCAAGGTCTACATGGGGCAGTCGCCATGTACTGGCCGAAGGTCGGTGGTTTTTCTCCGAGAATTCCAGCTTTCTTAATTAACTAAATTAATTTATTACATTAAAACATGTTGAAATTGCATATTTCAGCTGTGAACCATCCCCGATGGCGACCCGAGAGACTTGTAGCTACTCGTCATGAACGGCCTCTGATCCCACCCATCAACCTAGTGGTCCCCTCCATTGGTAGGTACTGCTGTTTAACTGGAAGTGCAATGTTCTCAACACATGTTTCACATTTCACTCCTTCAAGGCAGGCAGGGATAGTGGTATATAGAGCTTTGCTTTATACGTTTGTATTTATACATCAAAACTATTTGAGTCTATTGTGGTATATATAAAGCTAAATATCCCGATCATGCTATGAAAGTACTCTCCACTCTATATTGACACCTGCTGCCATTTTCCCTTTCCCAGAAATGATTGATCACTAACATGCTTGAACAAAATCTCAACGGGCACATGGGGGAGGGGTATAATTCTAGTGTCACCAGTTTCATTTATTTTATCGCTTGACAATATTTAGAGGGTTGGTTGTAATAGCCAGCATTTAATTATACATGGCCTGAAGTCACTTCAGAAAAGCATTCCTATAGTTCCTTTGTAATGTTAGTCACTAAAGTGTTTTTTATAATGAAATGTTCATGCTTAATAATCAATATTTGGGATGTCATACACAAACTGTTACACATATAGAGATCTATAAAATACTACTAAACAAATGATATACCTCGGTAATGCACAAACTAATGAACTAGTATCTGCAAAATGCTAATAGGGAAATAATGCCATGAGTATCATCTATACAATTGGTAACATTGTTTTAAACATTTAACTGCTTTCAGCTGACATAATCAACTAAAAGTGAAAAATGTTATGAAGAACACTTGCACTTTAATTTGTTAAATTTGCCGTATTGAATTCCAACTCAAGTCAGTTCAGTATTTATTTTAACAGTTTTTAAATAACTTATTCTCGTAGAAAATACATTAAATGTAAAAATTCAACATTTGATTCAGTAAATGATTGTGCATGCTTATAACAAACATCAATAAGTGAATCATGGCCTTTATAGCTGATATGAATGCCATCTGAATTTGGAAGGGTTATGAAGTGGCAGTGCCCTAGTGTGGTAAAATATGTTAAGGATGAGCAATTCTAGGAAAATAGTTTCTTGGTATCAAATTAGAAAACAAATCCTACTTTTTTTTTTTTTACTATTAGCGAATCATATCCATTTGAGTCACCTTCTTAACAGGAATTACAGGGACCATTGTACACACAGGACTAAACAATAAGGGTAGCCGATAGTCTGATACTAGTGAAATCTCCAGCTAGACTAGTGGTTCTAAAAACAGCTAGCCTGATTGACAAGTTAAAATTTGATATTGTTTATCTAGTTGAATGATATGAGGTTAGTGGAATTTGCACATGGACTAATGAAAATTAGAATCTACTACCACAATGGACTAGTGGCATTCAAAATTAATTTCTAGTCCTGACACTAATAGAGGCGTCACGATTCACCTGCAATACACTTGTACCGCGATTATTTATGTTCGGTTCGATTCACGATATATTTTTCTGGATTTTCAATGCGTCCCGAACGCAATATTAGTGTATGCCGCTTCAGCCTGTGAGACGTTCAATTTCATTGGCTGATCTCTAAACCCTCAACCAATTGCCTGCGAGGATGCAATTTTCACAAAGCATTCATAACAAAATGCGGACCGCCGTAAGGAAATGAAAATTTGTGATGCTCTGGCAAGCTTCAAATCAAAAGTGTGGAAACACTGCGGGTTTTGTGTATCGACGGCTTATATATTTCATTTTGTTTATATTTTTAAATAAAGGTGTATCGAATCGAAATAGTCGAATCGTGGTACAAATATCGAGATACGTATCGAATGGTGGGTAAAGAGTATCATGACAGCTCTAGACACTAAGGACAGCACACTAAACCATCCCCTAATCATATGTTCCTATGTTGTCGCAGGCCATGTGATCAAGGCCAGAGAGATGACTGGAGGGAGTCAGAGGGACCTCATCTGTCCTATCTTCATTTACTCCAAAGTATGCATGCATGCTAGAAAGCTGGGCCACCTATCAGCTGTGTACTGTGTGGCGTTTGATAGGACAGGCCAGTACATCTTCACAGTAAGTGGATATAAGATTTCAGTTTGCAATAGGAACTTGGCTTATTATATTAGCTAGAAATTGTTATTTTTTTGGTGTTTTTTTCCCATGGTTTTGCTGTTTTGACATTACACAAGAACTAGTGCGAAATAGAGCTTGAAACAAAAACCCAATGCATAGTATTAATTTCTATACAGAAGTGCTAATTTGAGTACCTTGAACATTTTTATTTCCAATCCGTGTGTTATATTATTAGATGGGTTTTTTTGTGTTTTTTTTTTAAATTTTACCATGTATTTAAAATCAGTACTGAAGTAAAAGTTCTTCATCAGAATCATAGTGCTCATAGAAGAAAACATTATTTGTTTTCAGGGAGCTGATGATGCCCTCATCAAGATTTGGTTTGCAGCAAGTGGACGACTGATTGATACGCTCAGGGGACACAACTCTGAGATCACAGATATTGCTGTAAATTTTGAGAATACACTGCTGGCCTCAGGTAGCTGTGATAAAATAATTCGGGTGTGGTGTCTAAGAACTAAGGCTCCGGTGGCTGTTCTGCAGGCCCATACAGGAATGATCACCTCCTTACAGGTAATTCTGGACACTGTCCTCTAAAACTTTGGGGGTATTTTTGTCAGGAACTATTTAATACGAGAGAAATCTGTATATCAACATTAACAGTATCCTTATAAAAATACAAATAAACAATTTATACAGAACTTGTATTTAGTTGTGAGAAAAACTTATTAAAACGATACTTCAAATTTTTAACCATTTATTTGAACTGTCCATCTAATAATGATCAGTAGGGCTGCAACGGTTAGAAATAATACAAGTCGGATAACCGAGTGTGCTTAACCAAACCAAAACTGGGTAACTATGTTTTTTTTGTGCCATAAAATACAGTTACCAATGGCCCTTTATTTTGATAAAAATATGATAACTCAATTTACTAAATGCATGAATAACAAAGATAACTCAATACATATTCCTTGTAAATAATACTGTAAAACTGTTGCAGATTCTCAAAATAATTATGAATTGGCTACAAATCGCTATCCTCCCAGGCCTGGGATATTTTCGTAGTTTCACTTTACACTCCTTTTTTGTGCTGAAATTACGCTGCAAACTAATTGGTACCCATATTCAAAGCAAGGTGCCCTTTTGATCAGCCAAACACACTTTAGACTAATGTTTGCTTTATTACTTGTAAGATTAATGAAAAAGATAGTGTTTGTGTTCATAAAATTTAGGATATTTGTCATATAAATTCTTCTGATGACTAAAAGTCCCCTTTTTGACATCTAGAATGGGTGTGTTTGTAGTTCTGTCCTCAGGTCAGGGGAGAGATTTGACATCTAGAATGTGTGTCTTTGTAGTTCTATCCTCAGGTCAGCAGAGAGCTTTGACATCTAGAATGTGTGTTTGTAGTTCTATCTAGGTCAGGGGAGAGCTTTGACATCTAGAATGTGTGTGTTTGTAGTTCTATCCTCAGGCCAGCAGAGAGCTTTGACATCCAGAATGTTTGTGTTTGTAGTTCTCTCTAGGTCAGGGGAGAGCTTTCACATCTAGAATGTGTGTCTTTGTAGTTCTATCCCCAGGTCAGGGGAGAGATTTGACATCTAGAATGTGTGTGTGTGTAGTTCTGTCCTCAGGCCGAGGGAGAGCTTTGACAGCTAGAATGTGTGTTTGAAGTTCTATCCTCAGGTCGGGGTGGAGCTTTGACATCTAGAATGTGTGTTTGTAGTTCTATCCTCAGGTCGAGGGGAGCTTTGACATCTAGAATGTGTGTGTTTGTAGTTCTATCCTCAGGTCAGGGGAGAGCTTTAACATCTAGAATGTGTGTTTGTAGTTCTATCCTCAGGTCGGGTGAGAGCTTTGACATCTAGAATGTGTGTGTTTGTAGTTCTGTCCTCAGGTCAGGGGAGATCTTTAACATCTGAAATGTTTGTGTTTGTAGTTCTGTTCTATCCTCAGGTCGAGGGGAGCTTTGACATCTAGAATGTGTGTGTTTGTAGTTCTATCCTCAGGTCAGGGGAGAGCTTTGACACCTAGAATGTGTGTTTGTAGTTCTATCCTCAGGTGGAGGGGAGCTTTGACATCTAGAATGTGTGTGTTTGTAGTTCTATCCTCAGGTCAGGGGAGAGCCTTGACATCTAGAATGTGTGTTTGTAGTTCTATCTAGGTCGGGGGAGAGCTTTGACATCTAGAATGTGTGTGTTTGTAGTTCTGTCCTCATTCCAGGGGAGCTGTTTCCCATCTGAAATGTTTGTGTTTGTAGTTCTGTCCTCATTCCAGAATGTGTGTTTGTAGTTCTATCCTCAGGTCGGGGTGGAGCTTTGACATCTAGAATGTGTGTGTTTGTAGTTCTATCCTCAGGTCAGGGGAGAGCTTTGACACCTAGAATGTGTGTTTGTAGTTCTATCCTCAGGTCGAGTGAGAGCTTTGACATCTAGAATGTGTGTGTTTGTAGTTCTGTCCTCAGGTCAGGGGAGAGCTTTAACATCTGAAATGTTTGTGTTTGTAGTTCTGTTCTATCCTCAGGTCGAGGGGAGCTTTGACATCTAGAATGGGTGTGTTTGTAGTTCTATCCTCAGGTCAGGGGAGATCTTTGACATCTAGAATGTGTGTGTTTGTAGTTCTATCCTCAGGTCAGGGGAGAGCTTTGACACCTAGAATGTGTGTTTGTAGTTCTATCCTCAGGTGGAGGGGAGCTTTGACATCTAGAATGTGTGTGTTTGTAGTTCTATCCTCAGGTCAGGGGAGAGCTTTGACAGCTAGAATGTGTGTTTGTAGTTCTATCCTCAGGTCGAGTGAGAGCTTTGACATCTAGAATGTGTGTGTTTGTAGTTCTATCCTCAGGTCAAGGGAGAGCTTTGACATCTAGAATGTGTGTTTGTAGCTCTATCTAGGTCAGGGGAGAGCTTTGACATCTAGAATGTGCGTTTGTAGTTCTATCCTCAGGTCGAGGGGAGCTTTGACATCTAGAATGGGTGTGTTTGTAGTTCTATCCTCAGGTCAGGGGAGCGCTTTGACATCTAGAATGTGTGTTTGTAGTTCTGTCTAGGTCAGGGGAGAGCTTTGACATCTAGAATGTGCGTTTGTAGTTCTATCCTCAGGTCGAGGGGAGCTTTGACATCTAGAATGGGTGTGTTTGTAGTTCTATCCTCAGGTCAGGGGAGATCTTTGACATCTAGAATGTGTGTGTTTGTAGTTCTATCCTCAGGTCAGGGGAGATCTTTGACATCTAGAATGTGTGTGTTTGTAGTTCTATCCTCAGGTCAGGGGAGAGCTTTGACATCTAGAGTGTGTGTTTGTAGTTCTATCCTCAGGTCGAGGGGAGCTTTGACATCTAGAATGGGTGTGTTTGTAGTTCTATCCTCAGGTCAGGGGAGAGCTCTGACATCTAGAATGTGTGTTTGTAGTTCTATCCAGGTCAGGGGAGAGCTTTGACATCTAGAATGTGCGTTTGTAGTTCTATCCTCAGGTCGAGGGGAGCTTTGACATCTAGAATGGGTGTGTTTGTAGTTCTATCCTCAGGTCAGGGGAGATCTTTGACATCTAGAATGTGTGTGTTTGTAGTTCTATCCTCAGGTCAGGGGAGATCTTTGACATCTAGAATGTGTGTGTTTGTAGTTCTATCCTCAGGTCAGGGGAGATCTTTGACATCTAGAATGTGTGTGTTTGTAGTTCTGTCCTCATTCCAGGGGAGCTGTTTCCCATCTGAAATGTTTGTGTTTGTAGTTCTGTCCTCCGGCCAGGCGAGATGTTTAACATCTGAAATGTTTGTGTTTGTGGTTCTGTCCTCAGGCCAGGGGAGATGTTTAACATCTGAAATGTTTGGGTTTGTAGTTCTGTCCTCAGGTCAGGGGAGATGTTTAACATCTGAACTGTTTGTGTTTGTAGTTCTGTCCTCATTCCAGGGGAGCTGTTTCCCATCTGAAATGTTTGTGTTTGTAGTTCTGTCCTTAGGTCAGGGTAGATGTTAACATCTGAAATGTTTGTGTTTGTAGTTCTGTTCTATCCTCAGGTCGAGGGGAGCTTTGACATCTAGAATGGGTGTGTTTGTAGTTCTATCCTCAGGTCAGGGGAGATCTTTGACATCTAGAATGTGTGTGTTTGTAGTTCTGTCCTCAGGCCGAGGGAGAGCTTTGACATCCAGAATGTTTGTGTTTGTAGTTCTGTCCTCAGGCCGAGGGACAGCTTTGACATCCAGAATGTTTGTGTTTGTAGTTCTGTCCTCAGGCCAGGGGAGATTTTTAACATCTGAAATGTTTGTGTTTGTAGTTCTGTCCTCATTCCAGGGGAGCTGTTTCCCATCTGAAATGTTTGTGTTTGTAGTTCTGTCCTTAGGTCAGGGGAGAGGTTAACATCTGAAATGTTTGTGTTTGTAGTTCTGTCCTCAGGCCAGGGGATATCTTTAACATTTGAAATGTTTGTGTTTGTATTTCTGTCCTCATGCCGAGGGAGAGCTTTGACATCTGAAATGTTTGTGTTTGTAGTTCTGTCCTTAGGTCAGGGGAGAGGTTAACATCTGAAATGTTTGTGTTTGTAGTTCTGTCCTCAGGTCGGTGGGGAGCTTTGACATCTAGAATGTTTGTGTTTGTAGTTCTGTCCTCAGGCCAGGGGAGATGTTTAACATCTGAAATGGTTGTGTTGGTAGTTCTGTCCTCAGGCCAGGGGATAGCATCGTATTCTATCCTCCACAGGCGGTGATGGCGGTGTCTGTTTTTGGACCTGGAATGTAGTTCTGTCCTCAGGCCGAGGGACAGCTTTGACATCCAGAATGTTTGTGTTTGTAGTTCTGTCCTCGGGTCAGGGGAGATGTTTAACATCTGAAATGTTTGGGTTTGTAGTTCTGTCCTCAGGTCAGGGGAGATGTTTAACATCTGAAATGTTTGGGTTTGTAGTTCTGTCCTCAGGTCAGGGGAGATGTTTAACGTCTGAAATGTTTGTGTTTGTAGTTCTGTCCTCAGGCCAGGGGAGAGCATCGTATTCTATCCTCCACAGGCGGTGATGGCTGTGTCTGTTTTTGGACCTGGAATGTCACCACAAACAAATTCAAGTAAGTCATACACGATATTTGCATCAAATATTACTTTTTTATGTCCCATCCTACACATACAAGTTATGCTATTTCTATTGATAACAACTGTGTACACATCCACAACCATGGGAATTGATCTATGGATGAGTATATATTTATATTCAGAGAAGTACCGGCACTTCTATACAAATCAAATTTAACAATGCTAATGTTTACTGGCCATGAAAATACCATATAAACAAATCAAATCATTGTTTAATTAAAATAAAAAATATTAATATAAATATTTGTTCAAAATGCTAACTTCACATGGCTTTCTTTGTGATGTTTGAATCCTGTACATAGGTCTGTTTGATATGTAAATATTCAGCGTTAATTTTTTTGCCAAGGTTTACTGTCCATTACGGGCTGTTTCCCTAAGCAAAAAAGTGCTTAAATTTTACTGAATAAAGCAAAAACTGAATATCTTCCCAATTTTAATAAAAAATATTGCTATATTTTTCCAAATCATTTTGAAACAGGCTCTTATAAAAACTATTGAAATGAAAAAGATATTGTTGACATGCTGTGAAGCTTTTAAGTCAGGGGTTTAACTTGTAGCAAAACATGAAATGTATTATATTGATCTCTTGCTGTATTAAAATTTCAGTCCGAAACCAGCCAAGTTTATAGAGAGGTCGCGAGCAGGTGCCCAGATGTTGTGCTCATCTTTTAGCCCTGGGGGGGTGTTTTTGGCTACAGGAAGTGCTGACCATGTGATCAGAGTTTATTTCTTACATGTCACAACACCAGAAAAGATATGTGAATTGGAAGCTCATACAGTAAGTGCCCAATTTATAAAAGAACATTTACTGGATTCCAATGGATTCAGTTAATCCATCACCCTTTGTGCAATCTAGGATTTACCTTTGCTGTGGAGATTTCTCTTTACCTAGCCATTTGATAGACAATTCCATGGGAATATTGCTGTTTAAAAAAAGTAGATCAGATTATTGTAAAATACAAAATTAATAGTAAAGCCATGCACGTCTCTATGTTATATTGCCCATTGTTATAGGACCGTGTTGATAGCATCTGCTACAGTAACGGTGGGGAAAAGTTTGTCAGCGGGAGTAGGGATGGCACAGCCCGGATCTGGCGCTACGATCGACAGGAATGGAAGTCTATCATTCTTGCTATGTCAACTCAACTATCCAGGTACGTAACAGTTGTGGTTCAGGTGATCCATGTGTGGTATCAAACAGGACTTGTACAGGTAAAACTACCTTTACCAGAAATATGTAGACAATTCAATTTACCTTTGCTTAAACATTTGATATTTAAGCAAACAAGCATGTTTAATTATGTCCTTGTAACAATTATGTCCTTGTTACGTAACTTTAGGCCTGTTTACCTTCTGTTAAGTTATGGTTGTCAACATCCGAGTCAGGTTTCTCAGGGTGATTTACAGACTCAAAAATGCCATCATCCGACAACATTTATTATCTTGGCTATAAACTACTGCTCATGTCGATAAACTATCTTGAACTTTGTGAAGGAGGTTAATGAAAAATTGATGGTATCTGAATCCATTTGATATGTCCTCATGTAATGCATGGACTGGAGTATTGAAGAATGATCTCAAGTGTTTCCTAATCATCTAAGTGTTAACGAATTCTGTTCAAAACCCAAAGAAATTGTCTTTAAGAAGACATGTTATAAATGAATACCAAACAGTAATGCAAAAGAATTGTATTCAGGTGAAAATGAACATCAAAACAACACTCATGTTGACCCATGGGCCCAATCAGGTGTTGGAATGATGACAAAAACTTAGTTATTAATTTACAAGAAAGGTTCTTTACAAGCGTTATTGAGAACCAACATTGGGGTATTTATATATCTTTTCTCATCATTTTGATAAAGGATGGTATATATGGGTTTGGCAGTACAACAGTTATATGAGAGTTTGATGGTATAAAGAGTAATTATAACTCAAGTTTATATTAACTTCCTAGTATTTTATCCCTCAGTTGTGTCAAATCAGAGACTGAAGACAAAGGACAGAAACCACGCGTCACCATGGTTGCGTGGAACCTAGATGATAACTTGGTTGTCACAGCCGTCAATGACAGCTCACTCAAAGTGTGGGATTCCCATCATGGCAAACTCTTGCACGTTTTAAAGGTAAGCTACTTCAAATCAGCAAATTGAAATATGTCCAGACTTAATTGATACTTAATAATATGCAACATTTGAAATAGCGCCCTAGCTATCTAGCTATCATAAGCCACTCTAAAGCACTTTACAGTAAATAGATGTACAATTAATACAATTAGCATATACATCAATCAATACAAATTTGAGGAATTCACAGGAGCTGCCTCATCAGGTGCTATCTACTAATCCTATGCCACCTGTCTAATATCTCCCTATGTGTGAATTCCTAAGTGTGTGCTGGAGATGTAATGTGTTCTGTATGTAGTGGGACCATGCTTCCAATGGCATCATTTAAAGTGACACCTCACTTGAAAGCTACAGCACAGATACCGCAACATCCACCCCAGACCAATTTATACTCCACCTGGGGTGTTGGAGCTGTGTGGAAGGCCGGAGTGTTGACCACTCAACCAATATGCCCATACTTCAGACTGGCAGTTTAATATCCCTCTGTGAACCTTAAATGGAAAGAAAAAATGTATCAAATGGAAGATGTCTTGGTCTTAGGTTCTTTACTTATTGTCAACTCTGCCATAGTATTCCACTTTTAATGACAAGGACTATCTTGATATGTTCTGCATTTTTCACTGATTAATTATAAAATAAGGATTGATTACATGTTTATTTCAGGCTCATGAGGATGAAGTGTTTGTTTTAGAACACAGTCCTACAGATCCTCGTATCTTCCTGAGTGCTGGTCACGACGGATATGTCATCATTTGGAACCTCAACACTGGCAATAAGATCAAAAGTTACTTCAACATGGTATGGCTGTGATGTGTTGAAACCTTCTGTTTTTGAGGAATCAATCGTTAATTTTATTTGTGTAATTAGTTCAAAAGTGAATCAACATGCTTTAAAAATATTTATATGGTTAATGTGAAGCACCATTGAATCTTCATGAAAATGAACAGTTTTAACCATAAATATATTAAATTTCTTGGCACTGTTTCTTTCATAATAAAAGATTGCAATATCCTTATTGATTTATTGTTTCCTTAAAGCCCTGGTAATGATTGATTTAAATTAAGTGCCAAAGTCTATTTAAAGTAAGGTGTCTACTGGTGTGTTTCAGATTGAGGGCCAGGGCCACGGTGCTGTGTTTGACTGTAAATTTTGTCCTGATGGAAACAGCTTTGTTGCCACTGACTCTCATGGACATCTGCTTCTGTTTGGATTTGGTTCAAACGACAAATATAAAGAGGTACAGAATTCAAACATGTATTTAACACATTCTTTGCCAATAAAAACTGTTTTAAGATGATGTGAATGTATAGATTCCTAACTCTTCTTTTTTAGCCCACCATCATCTGATGGTGGGCTATTCAAATCACCCTGCATCCGTGGTTCGTCGTCCATCCTTAAACAATTCTTGTTATCGGTATTTCTCAAGAATTACCAGAGGGATCTTTCTTAAATTTTATATGTAGGTTCCCCTTGGTCCCTAGCTGTGCAGTTGAAAGTGAACGTTTGTTATGCTATTTCTCGGGAAGTACGGGAGGGATCTTTCTCAAATTTTATATGTAGGTTTCCCTTGTTCCTTTGTTTTGCAGCAGTGCCTAAAATGGACGGTCGCCCGCTCGCCAATGGTGATTAAAGTATTGCTCGAGCGACCAAAAGTTGTCAAAAATGAGGTAGTCACTGGCCCAACAAAAATATTTTGGGCGACTGTCGAAAAAATAATGAATAAAAGAAATTATAGTCCCTTCCACATTAACTGGGGGCAGTACAGTTTTCAGTTGTCATTACTTTGATTTGAATCGAACTGTCCAATGATTTAGAAAATGTGATGATTTTTTTTCCAGATTTTCTATATAAATATACGTCCAGGTTGTCTTCTTTGATGTGCGAGTTTTGTGTATTTCTTCGGGAAACCTGAATGGAGTGGGTTGAAGAATTAGAAATATAATTTTTTATTCTGTTTAACATATTACAAACATTGTCATGTTATATGTAATTTAAATGTGGTGAAGCCTTGTGTTAAATGCTGTGGAAATATTTCTCCCCAATATTATTTGGGCCACCAATATGTCATTTGGGCCAGTGCTTCAAATTTTTTACTCGCCCCAAAACAAATTTGGGGCAAGCCAATGAAGGTTCCCACTATCCTTTGTTTACTTTTGAAACTGATCAGTTAAACAAAATGGCCTACCGACAGCCATCTTCGATTTTTGACATTGAAGGTTTGTTAGTACTATTTCTCAGGAATAACTTGAAAGATCTTTCTCAAATTTAATATGTAGGTTCCCCTTGATCCCTCCTTGTGCATGTTATATTTTGAGACTGATCATAAAAACAAAATGGCTAAAGGAAGAACTAAACAGATCTTTCTCATATTGCAATGATCGATTCTATTTCTTTCATATTAAGTACTATACTAGTAAATATGTGAAATGACAAACTCACTTTGAAGGTTGGCTTTCATACACATCAGTATTAAGTTTAGATCGAAAGTTATCTCAAGGTGCATTTACTGTTAACATGACTAGACCAAACAGATTAGAGGAAAGAAGAGAAAAGATCAAACTGACAAAGAACTAATGGAGATGGTACAATGGTGGGTGCCAAGATCCCTCTGGGATCTCTTGGTTTTTAATGTTGTTCAAAACATTGTCAAAAAATTGAAAGAATCCACTTCTATCTGTTTTATTGATGATCTTGGAAGCCCCTTTCATACATTGTAAGAAATGAAGGAAACAAACCATACATTTTGTGTTTCCACTAATTTCATATCCTGTACGATGAGTTATTTTATGCATTCAATGTTTCTCCACCATATTGGATAACTTAGCAAATTCAGCATTGTCGTTTTTGTAATGAAATATTTATGAACTGAAATTTGTATTTTTTGTTTTGTTTTTGTTCAACAGATACCTCAGGAAGTGTTCTTTCACACTGACTACCGTCCACTGATGCGTGACAGCAATAATTACGTTTTGGATGAGCAAACACAACAACCACCACACCTCATGCCCCCACCATTCCTTGTTGATGTTGACGGTAATCCATACCCACCGAAATTCCAGAAACTTGTGCCAGGCAGGGAGAGATGTAAAGACAACCTACTAGTACCTCAGATGGCTGTCAATGAAACAGGTACTGGCAACAAGGCGTGATATGATATTGCCATTGTAACTTGATATCAAGAAAATTTTATCTTGAGAATGTGAGGTTTGTTTTGCATTATTTATTATATGAGCAGTGAACCTGTTTTATATAACTAGATAACAAGGAAGGTGTTGGGGAGCAGATCATATTTTTGTAGATAAGCAATTATGTTTATTAATTTTGTAAAGGGGACCAGGAGGTTGTTGGGGAGCGGATGACGGAGGATAATGATGAACAACTGATGCCCCCTCCTGTGGCCCCAAACAACCTTGATGGCCTTATCCAGCAGCTGCAACGTGAACAAGACAATCGTATGGCAGCAAGAGGTTCTCCCAGGGTTGCAAGGTCTAATTCAGGTAAGTTCAAAAATAGGACTTTTAGGATTTTTAGCTCACCTGGCCCAAGGGGCAGCGCTGCGTCCGGCGTCCATCAACTTTTCCCTTTAAAACGCTACTAGTCCTCAACGGCTCAAGGCTATTCCCGTTAAAAATGTCACCCACTAGCAGACGTTTATGAAAAAACGTCTATTCCAGGTGGGAGTCGACAGAAAATCACTCGTATACCATGTCATAAAATGAAAAAAATCACTTCTGTTCCTGATAGCAATTACTGAGAATTAAAAAAAACTTCTGTGTCATGTTTTGAGAAATAGATCGCTTCTGTGCTAGGATGCCAGAACATATTAAGCGTTCCTGTTTTTCTTTCAAATTAATCCGGTAATGTACAATATTGTCCGCGTTCTTTTTTGCCGTTCCGTGCTGTGTAAGGAAGGCAACTCTAAATCCCGGTTAATACAAAAGTGGATTACATGCAATGTTCTACCAGCAGAATACAAACAAACTCCCTATCATTTCGTTCCGTTTGAAATCCCCTCCTCCTTTTTGTATCAACACAAGAAGCCATATTGTGAAAGTACGTCAGAGAAGTGAAACATCGACATGGACATAAATTTTGAGTGTTCTATTCTATTGTGGCTGATGTGGCATTATGGCTAGATCTGAATGTATAGGTAGGATAACCTAACATGTCTTCAAGATTTTTTCACACACTATTCAAATACATAGGCCTAAATCAAATTCGTCCATTGGAGTTTGGAGATGTTTGTCGGAGAATGACGGTAAACTATAATATGCCAGTGCATTAAAAAATACAACTGAGTGATTGCTTCATTAAATTTGATTAAAAAATCACTGCTGTGGGTGGTTGCTTCATCGATTAAAAAATCACTTCTGTGGGTGGTTGTTTCATTGACTTCATTGGGAAGTCCACTAGTGGGTGACATTTTTAACTGGAATAGCCCCCACAGAGGATTTTGACCAAATTTGGTCTGGAGCATCATTGGCCAAAGGGTTCTCAGTTTTGTATAAACGGAGGGTGTGGTACCCGGGGGCAGAGGGACAGGGGGAAATAGGTAAATTTTTAAAAATCTTGTCCTTCTCAACAAATAGAAGGATTTTGACCAAATTTGTCCTAAAGCATCTTTATACAAAGGAGCCTCAAGTTTGTATAAATGGAAGGTATGGCCCCTGCGAGCAGAGGGGCAGGGCCCAATAAGGGAAATAGAGGAAAACTGGGAAAATTGTTCTCCTACTATACAAGTGAGGTGATTTAAACCAAATGCAGTCTGAAGCATGCTTGGGGACAAAAGAATCAATTTTTGTATAAACTAAGGAGTGTAAAGGCAAAATTACATCTTGCCTAAATATCATACTGTGCCTCTAGTTTAATGTTTTATGATTATAGGTAGTGGTGGTAACCATGGTCACAGAGTTGGAATGAGGATGAGTGGAGAAACAGAGGGTGTGCGTCAGTCACTAGGCAACATCAACCAGCAGGCCACCCAATCTGATCTTGCTGCCTGGGGCAGACGCATCATTGTCAAGGAGCTCCATCCTTCTGAACTTTCGTAAGTTTTCATGGCTGTCTCGTAAGTTTTCATGGATGTCACCCCTGATGTAAAAACATTTTTTTAGACATTTAACATCAACAAATGAACATAGGTTCTTGTTGAAAGATATTGTATGTGAGACAAATGTAAACACTTGAATGAAATTTCCATTTTACAGGGAAAACTGGTCAACAAACTCGAGTGGTGTTGTGGTTGATCAAGTCCTGGTATATATTGCTATTAGTATCTGTATAAATTATATATAATTACTAGCAATGATAATCAACATTTCCTCAGAGTAATGACTTCGCTATTGTACAGGAGTTGTGAAGAAGTGAGAATGGCACATGCTGAGGTGGAGTCCAAGAGGTTTTTGGCAGAGAGAAAAAAAAAGCCATTATTTTTCCACCAAGTAAGTTAGTTACATAAATACATTGGTTACAGATTGGCATCAGAAATGATTTGTTATGTCTCGCAACACAGTATGTAGTTGGACAATTACCAAAAGCTAGAATCTTTTCATTTATGAGGTGTACTTCAGAACAACGAAGTGCTATTATTTTAATACAAAAGCGAAGATTTAATCTACTGATTTTGTTCATTCATTGCAAAACCATTATTAAATGTAAATTGCTTTTGGAAATAATATCTATAGTTACATGATATATTGGAGAGTAGGAACTTGTTTCGGACCAATTCTGTTTCAAAATTGGATGAAAACTAACATTTTTGATGCAATCGTAAAATAAATCCCACTTTTTTAGCAGAGTGAAGCGACTACCCCAGTCAACAAGCAGAATAAGTCCCGACGCCGTCCACGAGCTGGACAACATTCAGACACTACATCACCGGAGAATGAGGAAACGGCAACAAATAGACTGGTCACACGTGCATTGTACGATACAGAGGAGGAGGTAGGGATACCTAAATGAAGCTTAGGTCATTTATGTGTGAAAGAATGCTAAGTATTGGCATTAATAAGGTCTAGTCAAAAATGTATGAGAGGAAACACAAATGTATTAAAAATAGCATTAATAAGGTCTAGTCAAAAATGTATGAGAAGAAACACAAATGTATTAAAAATATCAGTTTAAGCACCAAGAAATTGTATATGGCTTGCCGAGTTCTCTGAAATTAGTACCAGACAATTGCAAGAAGAGTAATCTGGAACTATGTCGATATCATTAACATGTTGTTGTTTTCTTTTCACTGTAACATTGCAAGCTACAAATGTATGTAAATTTTCAGGAGGATGAGAATGATCAGTCAGGGCTGTGGAACAGTAGTAGTGGCAGGTAGGACCTCTTAAATTTGTCATAATAATACTTTAACATGATAATACTGTATAATGTAACATAATAATACTGTAACAAAAAGGACTATAAATCACAACCATCCTGTTATAATACTTCATGCAATAGATCCTTGTATTAAATGTAATCTTGATGCCAAAAACATTTATGTTGCTTTACTGAAATCAAACCGAGGAATGTGTTACTGTTAAATTTTTTGAAAAACAAAATGAAATGTTTTACTTTTCCTGAAATTAATGTTTAATACATGGAAATCTGACCGTTTGACACTTTGATTTTAATTTCCTGACTGATGGTCAGTTTTATGACTTGTTTGTACCTGCAGTGATTCCACTGACTACTCTGACTGGGTGGGTGACAACAACACGTCCAGTCTACAGCCGCCCAAACGCACATCTTTACGGCGTCGAAAACAGAGACGTATGACGTCATCAGATGAAGAAGAGGAAGACCAAAGTGATACAAACAACGACACAACGACAAGTCGACGACCGAGACCTCAGAGGAAAAAACCTGAACCCAAAGAAAAGAAACTAAACAAAACAACTAGGGTACGTATATGATGAAAACATATCGGAAATATGAAGATTTGGGGCCAAATCTGTTTTAAAACAAAGTTTATAGCTCCCCTGTGCAAAGGAAAGACAGCTTATGCAATACCCAATGGCTTGAACCTGGGACAGGTTTTAAGGGCAAGTTATGTGAAGCATTGCCTGTGATTTAATGTTTACTGAAATGGATATTTTACACGAGGGCTCATTGGGGGTCTTACATTGATGTAGTGAAGCCAGAACAGCAAATTATTTTTCATTTTCATTTTTTTTTAACAATTTTGGACTTAACTTTTTTCATCCCATATCACCACATGGAAGTGTTTTGGGTAGGGAGTAGTGTATAAGCAAGTGAGCAATGGTAACGTGACACCATTTATGGTTGTAATATTGAGAGTTTTTTTCTAATATCTAACCTCTTTTTAATCGGTAATTGGTACTTTTTGTACTTTAGAGACGGCAGCAGATAGTTAAAAAAATGGATGGGGTTGAGGAGCTGCCAGAGGAGTTCCGCCCCCCTGAATGGCTGACTGACACAAAACCAAGAAAGACACCGTATGTCCCTCAGATGGGGGACGAGGTGATGTACTTCCGACAGGGCCATGCTCTCTATCTACTGGCTGTCAAACGTCATGCTGCCTACAATGTCAACTCTAACAAAAACCAGCCCTGGAACAAGTATCCTCACCTCAGGGTTAGTAACACATACAGTCTGAGATCTACAGCTTGTCATACTGTGTTATTTAGGAATCTTATGAAATTATATACATGTTGCGGATTCTGAATTTAACTGACATTTTACAATTTATTAACCTGGTTAAGAAGAAATGATCTAATCACGTAAATTTAAAAGGTGAGGTAGAATTGTTTGGTCTATGTCTGGGTTATCGATATTTAAAGTGGTCATCAACATTTTGTAGCATTAAAAATGCTATTTATGTTTACACTTGCTTTATTATATATTGTTTTTAGTGATTGTTCAGTAATTTACTAGTTTGAATTTTATGGATCTGTACCATTCACAATTGTATAGTATGCTACGTCAGAACTTGGCCGTCTAATCCTGATTTGTCTACTGAGCAGGGGATATTGGTACCAGTGGTTTTTTTTGTATCTCTATGTTTCCAGTTTCACAAAACCACTTTATTGTTAAGTAATAATCAGCACAATTGCAACAACCTAACTTTAAGATTCCTAATTAAATTAGAATTGAGTTTAACAAGATATTAATTTTTACCTATGTGTGTATTCAGAGCTTGGACTGGGATTTTGAATATTGTCTTCAAAACAGCTGCATTTATTGCACACACTATGACCAAGTCTGTCATTGGGTTTTATAGTAGTGATAATATTCAGTTCATATCCCTATTTTCTCCCATAGGAACAGGAATATGTGAAAATAGTTGGGATAAAGTATGAAGTCCGTCCTCCCCGCCTCTGCTGTCTGAAGCTGGCCTTCATCGACCCAGAGACGGGCAAAACTTCCGGGGGATCCTTCAGTATGAAGTAAGTTGACATGACCAGAGAAGTCACTGCCTAGAGGCCTGGCCATGGATCAGTATTAATGAAAATGTTCTTATGCTTAGCTTAGATTTTGTGCTCAAGCCTGATTCCTTGCTCCAGTGGGGTGTCCTGCTGGGTGTCTTCGGCAGTATGTCTCAGTGAGGTAGCACTATAAAGTCGGCATCAGTTCCGCGCTATCACAAGGAGACAAACACGAACATATCGCAGCCTCCCAAAATACACACATATACACTACACGCATGCATCTTGCACACAGGGGAGGCCGTCCTTAAATGACCTTAGCTGTTAATAGGACGTTAAACAAAATCAAACAAACAAATAAAAATGCTCCAGTGATAAATTAATGAAAAATTTACATGATGTCGATGATTTGGAAGAATTTTGGAGAGATTTCAATGTTAACATTTGATTTTTTGAACCTGTCGTTTGATTTTAGTGAGTTACAAGAAAGTTGGTTTGAGCACAGAATCCATGTTTGAGCATGAGAACAGTGTCATGAATACAGGCCATGGTCTATGTCAACTTGGTTGAAGGTAGCAATTTTATGTATAAAGAGAATGCAGCTTTACTCATTTTTGTTAATATTAAAGGAATTATCCTGGAGGGGGGCTGGCTGCTGATTCCTCTAAATTGAAATTGGCCCCTCCAATTTTTTTTATTTTACTTAGAATGGCCCCCTCTGATTTTTGATATATTGCCTAAAGTTTTTTGAAAATGGCTCATTGCTCTTGAGCTCTCAGGATTTTCCCTATTATCCATTGGCAGTTTACTAACAAAGGATAGTTAAAATGAATATATCACGAAGATGGTTGAATGAATTCATTTAGGCCTATGACCCATAGCCACAATATCACTTATTTCCATTGGGGTCCCTTTAATCCAGTTTTAGTTAAAACTTTTGTTTATTTCCTCTGACAGGTACCATGACATGTCTGATGTAATTGATTTTCTTGTGCTAAAACAAACATATGATGTGGCCATGAAACGGAAATGGAAAGCAAGTGAGTATCTGCATGAACATTTGTTCAAAATTAGATGAATGATGACCTTAAGTGATTGATGAAACCAAAGTTTGCACCAAAATAAACAAGTGATTGATGGGTCTGTTTGGAAATAAAGAGTGGAAAGAAGTAATGTTCACACAATAAGAAGAAGTATGATAGTACTTTTAATGTTTGTGTTTCTGGGGTTTAAACTAAGGTCAAGGTCTTCATTTACTACATTTCCGGGTATAGAATATCTGTCACTTATTAAAGCGACTTTATACACTTTCCTGAAGAAAACTAAAATGTGGATTTAGATATGTACAGCTAAGATAAAATACATTGTCAGAGAATGAAGTTACAATAAACTGGTACATAAATAGGAAATGTTGGAATGATTCAACTTTCTACCTATTGTTTGTCTTGTATTGTTACATCTCTGCCAGAATTACAGACTCTGTGGACTGTACGGTTATTAAAGTACTAATATACATTTTGCAGATGACCGGTTCCGCTCTATGATAGACGATGCCTGGTGGATGGGAACAATAGTGTCACAGGAACCGTTCCAGCAGGAGTACCCGGACAGCATGTTCCAGTGTTTTAACGTCCAGTGAGTGTTAAGATACATTCATTGACAGAATATTAAACAGCAAACTGTAAACAGCATACATTTACAAAAGTGTATGAGTAAGATTAAGCCTGGTATAATCCCGTATTTATTATGTAAATTTATGGGCATAAGTAGTTATAGAATTTAGACTTTATACACCATAGACAATAGGTCTTTGTGATACTAGACTTCATACACCATAGACAATAGGTCTTTGTAATACTAGACTTCATACACCATAGACAATAGGTCTTTTTAATACTGACTTTATATAGACCTACTGAAACTTTCATAGACCTTGACCAAGAAAATGTTACTTAATTTAGTGCTTGATAACTGAAAATTAAGAAAAGATGTGAAACAATAAAGGAAGAAAAGAAATTTTCTAAAACCCTTTTTACCTCACTACTTCGCTTATCATTGAATAGACAACTTTTTCTATGAAGTAATTGATTTCCTTAGATAAACATTGTTTTTTATGGTGGTGTCTATGGGTCTACTGTTAACTTCATACACATTAGATTGTTGTTTATATTATGTATAATTCTGCGACTAAGTAACTTGTGTGTTACAGCTGGGACAACGGTGAAATAGAGAAGATTAGTCCTTGGGACATGGAGCCTATAGGAACCTGTCGTAAGTATTCCACTTTCAGTCTAATGAAAATGGGTTTTCTCTGTTTTCCTCCCATATTCAAACCCCTGTGATTCCATATGGCCCAAAAAAAGAATGTTTATTATATTAACTATAAGCGTTAAAATTGTTTCATAATTGTTGTCTAATACATTATGAAGTTTATTGATAGTGTTAGGGAATAGCTTCATTCTGTTATGTTCCAGAGATGCCAAATGAGCAGGGAGGAGGCGTGCCTGTGACCCAGGAGGAGGTGAAGTCTCTGATGTATACCCCCATCACAGGCGAGTGGCCTTCGTGTGGGCGGGATGCGGAGTGTGAAAGAATCATTAGGTGTATAGAGGTAGTGATGGAACACTCCATTGCCGAACCCTTCCTCACGCCCGTCGACCTCAATGCCTTCCCTATCTACGCAATTGTTATTGAATACCCAATAGATCTCAACACCATTAAATCCAGACTGGAAAACAGATTTTATAGGTAGGTTGTTTCCCTTTATGAATACAAAATTCATTTGGGGTACATTTTCGTATCCGGTTGAAACGGTTGAACCAGTTGAACCAGTAAAGAAAACGACGGGTAAAGATCAGAACCGAGGTTGACCTTGGGAAAATTCGGCATGTGTAGATTGAGGGTTCCAGACGTACCTGACCGAAACTAAAATGCTGACTATTGCCATTTTGCGTTATTTGTTTCAAAAAAATTGTCAGAGTCACATGTATTTCTTAAGATACGTGACGTAATTTAGTGGACAGATGAAAGAAGGGCATAATATTCTTGATACATTGTTTTTATTCTCCGAAACTGTGCATTTTTAGCTCTGCTTATAGAACGGTCCAAGTGCGTTCGGTTATCGTGGAATATTTATGCGCCACACGTACCATTTCAACCGGGATACACAAATTTAGCCCAGTACATAATTAATGATAGTACTAGCCTTTTTAAAAGTTTGGCGCACAGAAATTGATCGCATGTATGTAAATATATTTTATCTTTGAGTCGTTTTGAGTTGAATTATTGGTTATACATAATTTATTTAGCAATACTCTTTTCCTTATTTTGTTCATGTTTTATCTTAATGAAGATTTACAATGTTTTGTTTTTCAGGAGAGTAAATTCTCTACAGTTTGATGTACGGTATATAGAGAACAATGCCAACACCTTCAATGAACCTGGAACACCTATAGTCAAAAGTGCTCAGATCACCACAGAAATATTGCTCCGAGTCATCAGGTATGGTGTTGTAAACGTCACAGACAAACAGGAGTCCACTGAGGACTGGAACAGACCAAACTTTTAGTATTCAATATTAAGTATAACAATAAACTGTGAGGTTGTTTATGTATGAGCAAAGGTAAAATCTGAGCTGTAAAACTGCAAAGGGATTGATTCACATTAAAAATGGTTGAAATATTGTGTACTGTTTTAAGATTGCCTCTGAATACAGTATTTTGCATTCTTGTCTAAAAATTGCCAGGCAGTGTTTTGTACCCATGTTTTGAAGTTGCCTAGCAAAGTAAAAAAAAATGGAAAAAGATTTTGTGTTGTGTATCATAAACTGATTCTGTAAGTAAAATAGTTTGTTTGGTGTTTAGTGATGAGGACTGCACAGACCCGCACTCCATCATCACGCGGTTATGTCAGGGTGAGGAGTTCAGCTGGGGCTCCTCATCCTCTGACAGTGACCGGGAGGGGAATAGCCAGACTAGGAAACGGAAACGTGTAAGTACACATTATATAAAAAGACTTTCAATGTTGGAATCCATTTAATTATTACTGTAACAAGGTTAAATGAAATAATATGTTTTTCTATGACTATATGGTGCCTGTTTCCCCGACATTGTGTAGCCATTGTTTTTGCATAATGCAGCATTAATCTTCATAACCTTCTCGAATACATAGCATTCCTGACACAGAAGACCTTTAATTTATAGCTTTATATGACATCTGTCCATCTTTGGCTTTACTTTTGAAAACCTTCAAGTTGAGAACAAGAGTAGGGAATTTCCAATTCGTTTTAATCATCCCTGGACCAAGGGCAGGCATTCATTGATATGTAAATGGGGGAGAGGAGCAGAGTCAAATCAGGGATTTTAGATAAATGTTTTTAAAACAAAAAAAAAGATGTTTGGATTTAAAGTTGTATAATGAACTAATTTCGATCCCCTGGGGTTTGTTATAAACATGTTTTCTTGTATATGAACATAACAGGGTGACAATGACACACCACGGAAGAGACAGAAAGTGGAGCAGCGGCACAAAACACCCAACTCCTGGAAGGAGGAGTGTCACCAGCTGTTAGTCACCATGCTCCACTGTCAGGACTCGGAACCTTTCAGGGAACCTGTTAATCCAGTCACCTATCCTGTAAGCAACACAGTACAATATGCTAATTTCAAATTCTTAGAAACTAAAAGAAGCCTGTTATTAACGAAGTATGTTTTAAAAAGACAGTTTCTATTTAATCTACACTGTCAGTCTCTAAGAATTCCTATTATGAACATACCCGGTACTAATTTACAACTACAAGAGTTCATGATAATGGGATTATTTGCTTTTCACTTCCGTATCTTTTAAGAAAGTAATTGTAATATATATACCTGTTAAGATCAGGATATTTTGTTTACTATCTTTAGACAAAATGAGTGGATGATGAAAGTAATCTTATTTCGTTTTGGTTTTTTTATTTTTGTAGAATTACTGTAATGTTATAGAACGGCCGATTGACCTAGGAACTGTCAAAGATAATTTAGAGAATGGTGACTACACAGACCCTACAGAACTATGCAAGGACATCCGACTGGTCTTCCATAATTCTAAAGCATTCAACACTAACAAACGGTCAAGGGTAAGATGTCCTTTGTGGTTAATAAGATATTAAAGTCTGTCATTAAATATCCACAAGTTAAATTAAGTTTTAAGTCTGATCTCTGTACTGAAGTTGATGGATAGTTTGTAATGAAAGGGCAATGCTCATTGAACTATTTCAATTTAATCACTGAAGCATATCATTTCACGATATTCGTGCGAGAAAAAGTGTCACATAAAGGTAACACTGGAATATGGAATATTTTGCAGAAGTTGGAGTTTTCAAAGAAATCTATTAAAAAAATTGATATCATCAGCAGCACATTCCTGGTCATCATTGTTACATTAAATTGTGTAGTTCTATTCATGTGATTGTTATGATTTGTAGATTTATGCTATGACGTTACGTCTGTCAGCCATGTTTGAAGAGCAGATCAAGGATGTTGTGGTAGACTGGAAATCGGCTAAGAAACGAATGTCTCGATCCAGGAGTATGACAGAAAAGTAAGCATTTGTTCTGGTATTTATTGACTAAATGTATGCATGGACTAAAGATATGTAGCATTTGTTCTGGTATTTATTGACTAAATGTATACATGGACTAAAGATATGTAGCATTTGTTCTGGTATTTATTGACTAAATGTGTGCAAAGACTAAGAGATATGTAGCATTTATTCTAGTATTTATTGACTAAATGTATATATGGACTAAAGATATGTAGCATTTGTTCTGGTATTTATTGACTAAATGTATGCATGGACTAAAGATATGTAGCATTTGTTCTGGTATTTATTGACTAAGTGTATACATGGACTAGAGATATGTAGCATTTGTTCTAGTATTTATTGACTAAATGTATATATGGACTAGAGATATGTAGCATTTGTTCTGGTATTTATTGACTAAATGTATACTAGACTAGAGATATGTAGCATTTGTTCTGGTATTTATAGACTAAATGTATACATGGACTAAAGATAGGTAGCATTTGTTCTGGTATTTATTTACTAAATGTATACTAGACTAGAGATATGTATATAGGCTGCCACCCGATGTATAGCAGTTTTTTTTTCGACATCCTCGTGATGTGACTTGCGTTCATTGCACATATGACTACATTGGAGGCAGGGAGACTCATACCTAAGTAATATATGGGTGGTGGGATGTTAAATAATGGCTATAATATGAGGTAGAGAGAAATTGGATAGGTATGTTATAACAGCTGAATGTTTCACTTTATCTTAACCTAAAACATGTGTTATAACTTCAGTTCCCTTGAGTTGATTGAACTCAAACTTTGTACACATATTGCATACCACTATAGCTTGGACAAGTTTGCATTTCAGAAGTTTACATGCTTTTTTTTGTGGAGTTACGCCCCTTTTATTGCCAAATAAGGGCATTGGTAGTAAGATTTATTTTTATTTTTGAATCAATTCCTTTAAAATTTTGTATGGTAATGCTAGAAGCAATAATGTTCAATATGTATTACAGGTTTTTCTGTCGAGTTTCAACTTTCCTCGTTTTGGCATATCTGTTTAAGAGATAACTCGAGCCAAAACACTTTTCTTACTAAAAGCGCTGAGCAGGCGACACATCCACTCCCGTGGAATTCTTGTTTATCTAGCATTTAAACCTTTGGTAAATAAACTTATTAACTAAAATTGAAAAAGTGTAGATATAATACAGTAAGATAAGACTGATTTCACAAAAAGCTGATCTAATTGTATTGAAAGTTTTTTTGAATTTCCCCTTACTCACAAAAATGTAACTTCCTCCAGCCTGATCAATGACTAGGAAAAATGCTAGTCTGTCCCCTAAACACTTACTGAATAGTGGGATGACTGGATTAGTGGTGGTCAGTCATTCCCCTAAACAATGTCTACGCATAGTTGAACAACTGGATTAGTGTTGGCCAGTCTTTCCAGTGGGACAACTGGATTAGTGATGGCCAATCTTTCCAGTGGGACAACTGGATTAGTGATGTCCAATCTTTCCAGTGGGACAACTGGATTAGTGTTGGCCAGTCTTTCCAGTGGGACAACTGGATAAGTGATGGCCAATCTTTCACCAAAACATTGCCTGGCTTGTGGGGTAACTTATTTAGTGGTTGTCAGTAATTCCCCTAAACATTTGACTAGATAGTTGGAAAACTAGATTTGTGGTGACTGGGCTTACGAGGCTTGACTGTAGCATCAGAATCAACCAGAATGCAATCTTTGCTCAGATCTGAAAAAAAATACAATTGCTTTGCACAGTTCCCGGTATACGGAGCGACGACGGCTTCTCAACAGTCTGTCCTCTGAAGATTTGCCTAATACAAGTAATGCCAGACCAGGTCCCTCATCATCAGGACTGATGTCAACTCGGAGGAACCAGCGCTTGCTCAACTCTTCAACCACTCAAGCTGACGAAGATGATGAGGAAGAGATAGAAGTGGATGTAGATACTATTTCTGGGCCTAGTACCCGATCTTCACATTCAAATAATGGGGCCCGACGCACACGTGAGTTAATCCACCTGTTGGTCAGTCCAACCATTTCTGTAACACAAATACAACTAATATTCAACATCTTTTACCGAATAAAATTGTCAAAAAATGGATTAAAAAAAAATTGGGGGGGGGGGGTCAGTAGTATTCAGCACTTTATGCTACATATCACTTGTCATCTGTTAGAGGAAAACAATTATCAAGCAAAACTTGACATAGTTTAGTTCATAATGTTTTGCTTAATACATTTTTAGGTCACCTGAGACAAAGTCTCAAGTGACCTATTGCGATCGCCTTTTGTCCGTCGTGCGTCCGTAAACAATTTACATTTTCGACTTCTTCTCCAAAACCCCTGAACCAATTTCAATGAAATTTTGCAGGGACCTTCCATGGACAAAGGTCAACAAAAA